GAATTAAACACCTGACCAGTGAGACTCCCAAACAAACCAGTTATAAACTGACTATGAATGAATCACTTGGGGTGTCTGTTAGATATACAGATTAGGCTCTACCCTGAAATGCTGATTTGGCAGCCCAGGTAGGGCCTTGGGATATATACATTTGCTTGCTTTAATTTCCCAGGTCATTCTGACTGATACCTGCATTTGTGAATGACTAACAATTTCTCTAAATTTCAGTTTACACACAAGTCAATCACTGGTAATAATAATAGCTCAGCAGGTTACTTTAAGGGTTAAGTGAAAAAGTATATAATATGCACAGTTTGCCTGACGCAGAGAAAGCACTCAGTAAGTTTTAGCTACTACTGACACCCAAAGAGCGACTGCCAGGCATCACACTATTCCTAAGAGGAAAACTCTTCATTGTACTTTCAGGTTTTATATTTTCAATTACTCTGACAAAAATAACATGTGCTCCTGGCAACAAGTCAAACAGCAGAGATATATAATAGAAATACTATAATTGATCCTCTACCTGCTCCAATCACACTCCCCTGAGATAAGCAATGTGAACAGTTTAATATGTATACTTTCACACACTTCACAGTCTATACATACCGTATGCCTGTGCACATACACACCCATATTCCTCTGCACCTTGCGTGATAAATGTCAGAGCCATCCTTCCGGATCTTTTTAAAGGTGCATTAGAGGATTTCTGTTACTTTCTCCTGCTCAGAATCCATTTTTCCTCATTCTGATATCGGCAGTCCAATTTCCCTTTGGGAAGCCCTGCTCCCATCCCCCCACCCGTTTTAGTTCATGCAGTTCAAGCTGGCTTCACCACTGAGCTCCAGGGATGGGCACATAATTCGGGCACAGACAACCAAGAAATTCCATTCCCCTTGCCTCAGAAATTGGCAGGTGACTCAGGCCAATGAGACAAGTACTTCTGCTGTTACTACTGGGAAAGAAGTGTTTTTCCACTGGGTTGTTAAGCTGGGAGAACACAAACCATCACTGGCTATAGCTTAGGAAGAGCTGCCTGGGAATAAAATCAACACAAAGAAAGTAGAGTCAAGACAGAGAAGACAGATGTTCTCCAGATGACACTGTTCAAAGCTCTGCACGTAGTCATGCAAGAAGCCAGTCCGTCTCTTGATCTTCTTGGGTACATGTGGCAATTGATATCTTTCCTGGTTCACACAAGTTTAAATTTCATTTCTATCACTTGTAACAAGCAAACTAGACTTAACACATTGCATATTATTCCATAATAGAGATGTATCATTATTTATTCAACAATTTCCTTTTGATACACAGTTATATTATTTTCAGTTTTTTGCCACTATAAACAATGCTGCAACAACTGTCCTTATATTTATGGTACTTTAACTATTACAGGCTAGGAGCAAAAGTGTATAGGAGGCAATAGCAGGAAAAGATTAGAAACTAAATTAGGTCAAAATTATGGAGCACCCAGCATGCCTGACTTTATATGAACCTGGACTTTATATGGGGACTCTATTTAACAAATGGAGAGAGACAAGATTAGATCTGAACTGGAAACTGCCTCCAGAAGCAACGTTCAGATGACCTGGAAGTAGCCTGTCAATGCAGGGGACACGGGTTCAAGCCCTGGCCCAGGAAGATCCCACATGCCACGGAGCAACTAAGCCCGTGTGCCACAACTACTGAGCCTGGGCTCTAGAGCCCGCTAGCCACAACTACCGAAGCCTGCGTGCCACAACTACTGAAGCCTGTGCGCCTAGAGCCCGTGCTCTGCAACGAGAAGCCACTGCAGTGAGAAGCCTGCGCACCACAATGAAGAGTAGCCCCTGCTCACTGCAACTAGAGAAAGCCTGTGCGCAGCAACGAAGACCCAATGCAACCATGAATGAATGAATAAATAAATAAATAAATAAATAAAAAGATGACCTGGAAGTAGTTATGTGGGGTTTAGGGAGTAGGAGAATAATGCTGCATTAGTACAGGTTAAAGCTAGTAAGAGAGTCTCACTAATGGCAGTGGGAGGGAAATGAATTCAAAAGACATTTCCAAAGTACCGAAAACCAATATTAAACCATTAAGACTCAATTCAAAAAAAAATAAAACACAGGAAAGCCCCTGATAAAGGAATAGCACTAGGAGGTTATTCTGAATCACACGACCGCTAGGCTAGGAACAAGTACTTGACTTAGGGGCAGCCAGAAATCTACTGGCTGGCCAGCATATAGCATTAAGGGCTTTGCCAAACAGGTATTTTTAGCTGAACATGTTCTCCTTCTGGAATTTGAAGTGTGCAGTGTTGAGGGACTGACTAGCTGGGGCTAAAACTGAAGAAATACAGAAAGAGAAAAATTATGAGGTAGACTTGAACGTGAAGCCAAGAGAGAATTAGCGCAAGCTGGTTCCAGGACTGACAGACATCTAAGCTCTGTCTACATCTGGGCAGGCCCTGCTCTAATTCATGTTTTTCCTGAGGCCTATCTTCTTGAGAAAGTAAGAATGCCTTCTTTGTAATAACAGGGTCCTGACTAAAACAGCCTAACTGATGAGCCTAGATCACACAACTAAAATCAGACATGGTGATTGATAGTGAGGAGGATAAAAGAAAGAGGGAAGAATTTTAAATGATTAGGGTTTCTAGAGTGAGAAGGGATGGTGATGCTACTGAGAAAGAGAATATGCTGTGAAGAAGAAGTTGATTTGAATATACACTGAATTAAATTTTGGACATTTCAAGTGTGAAATCTCTGTGGAGTATCTGTAAGGAGACTGGAATCCACAGCTCAAAAGACATAAACTAATACATGGTAGTCTAAGCCACAAAAACAAAGGAACATCAAAAAGTCAAACCTAAGTGTTCTCCGACAAAGTTGGCTGAGTTACTACCTTCCCCTGCTTTTGTATACAGTGGAGGAACTGGGCCTCTCTCTACTCTGAGCTATTACGTGCTTATCTGTCCTGGACCTGAAGCTTCACACCAGGTGACAATGAAGGCCAGGAGGCACTCTCGTAGGTCTAAGTAAGAAACTGAAACATCTGAAAGTCTGAAATTAGTAAAGTCATATCCCAAAACAAAAACAACCAAAAAAGAAAACCTCAAATATACTCTGCACAGAACTTTATAGGTCACAAAATACTTTATGGGAGATGTAGGCAGGATAGTTTTTATAAGCACCTCCCCCTCTTTAACATATGAAGAAACAGATTCGTAAAAATTAACTTATCTAAGAAGCAGCAGAGCCGGGAATCCTTAGCACTCTCAAGTCACCATATTATACACGTTTCTTGGAAATCCCACTGATTTAATACCACAGAGGGTGTCTGCATCAGGCCCATGCTACTTTCCTTTTGGCCTGTATAGTACAGACCACTGCAGAGAACGAACACAATCTTACACTCTGATCCTGAAGAAAAAACTCAGTTTTGAGGTTTTCCAGAAATCTTTCTGACTTGTAAACTAACAAGAATTTAAAGGGGCGGGGGAGAGACACATGTCTATCTACCTCTCTTACCAATGTCTCACTGTTAATTACTTCGACAAAATAGGGAAAATCAAAATACACTGGTGAGGCTTCCCTGGTGGCGCAGTGGTTGAGAGTCCGCCTGCCGATGCAGGGGACACGGGTTCGTGCCCCGGTCCGGGAAGATCCCACATGCCGCGGAGCGACTGGGCCCGTGAGCCATGGCCGCTGAGCCTGCGCGTCCGGAGCCTGTGCTCCGCAACGGGAGAGGCCGCAACAGTGAGAGGCCCGCGTACCGAAAAAAAAAAAAAAAAAAAAAATACACTGGTGGTGTTAAAGATTGGGGATGGAATACAAATACGGTTCATCTCAAATGCAAAAGAAAATTAAAATCATCTTAGGCAACTTAGAAACAGCATCTGAGATAAAAGGTAGAAGACTTTCATGGGAAGGTGAAGAGATGTTACTCAGAGTTGTTAAAGAGAAGGGCCAAGGATAAATGCAAGTTTCTATGCCCTCTTGATTCCCTAACACCCCAGTTCTTAGGACTTCTTGGTGTTAACGCTATCTGAATTACCCAATTAACTGAGTTTCCCACCTCCCACCTTCCTTTTTTCACTCCTCTGCCACTACTTCTCAACCTCCATTTATTTCCAATACACTGCCAATTTTTTGCCATTCATGACCATTAAGTCTACTGACATAATTCCTCAATTTATGTTAAATTGAGGTAATTCAGAAAGATTAATTCCCAGAGCCTAGTGGAACAGCAGAACAAGAGTAAACATAGTCCTTGAGATTTCAAAGCCAGTGGTCTCTCTATTATATCACACTGTCCCTAAGGTTCAATTACCATGAGTTTATGTCCCACTAAATGAGAAGAAGTAAAACTGACTAACGTCACAGACAAGTTCTCAAAAGGAAGGCAGAATGAGGCAAGAAAGAAAAGACAATGGCAGGGAAAGCAATGCAAGCATTATACCTATTGTGAAGGAGGAGCACTGCCAGAAAGGTTTTCTAGGAACTAGCCTGGACTGAAAGACAGCATGAACAAACACAATCAATTTTTCAGGCTGTCACCTGTGCCATATCTTTATAGAAATTTCCCATAGTGTCTCTGAATTATTTGTTAAATCACCCTGATGTTGTCTTACACAGCATATTATTAAAAGTTCTAAGACTCTTTCCGTTTAAAAAAAACTTTCTGAGTATCATGTGATGGGTAGTATTTAATCAGAATACACCAGAAAATAAAAAGTTGTGATTTTTTTTTTACTCTTGGTAATTAATTCACTGTAACGTGGTATAAAAAAATTGATGTAACAAAGAGAAGCCAATACGAAACAGGTAGTCTGAAAAGCAATTTCTAATGTACTGAGCATCATTTAGGGACAAGATGGCTGTTTACCCAGCTACATTCTCCCAGAAAAGCTTGTCTCCAATTCTAGTAAAATCAAATGGGAAAAACCAAACTTCCTGTCTCTCTACATTTGATATCATTTTAAAAGCTCTGGTAAGATAAAACATAGTGTTTCTTACCTCCGTGCAACATAATAAAATATAGGATTCCCAGCTTTGGAAGTCCCAGCTTGGTAGAAAATACTCAAAGTTTTCAAAGCTTTGAACTCTTCTTTTTCATGTACTTGATGCCTGAAAGAAAAAAAAGAACAGAGTAACTCATAGGCTTTACATTGTCCACTGAATATCTACAAAAATCCACAACTGCACCAATGATAAATTATACAAAGAGACAAAATATTTTAAAAGCAACACGCTTTCTGAAGGGCAATGTGGTTAACATGTACCAAAAAATTTAAGGTGTTGTTCTTTGAACCACAAACAGTGGTTCTTAGGAAAATGCTAAGAAAACTACTGGACAGGGATATTAACCATAGAATTGTTTTTAATCATTTTTCTTTCTAGACATAAACTTTTGAGTTTTTACTTACTTGTTTGTTTTTTAAGAGTTCAGTTTATCAACCTTTTCTTTCCTGGCTTACTGATTCTGAATGAGTGAGAAAGGCCCACATGTTCTTCTTTATAGGAATTTATCCTCACAAATAGCGTTATCTTTTTCCAGATGGTTACTTACTGGTATAGTTGGACCAACACAATTTATTAAAAGTCCATTCTAATCTCCCTGATTCTGAATATCACTTTTATAATTATACTCTTATATATATTTAAATATACTTCCAAAAAAGGCATGGTTTAATTTTTATATATTCTGCTCAGTACTCAGTGTGTGTCTTTAACCTGAAGATTTATGTCAGTCAACAACCCTGGAAAACTCTCATTTGTTGTCTTTCATATATTACCTCTTCACTATTCTCTTTAAGCTCTATTTATTAGATATGCTGGACCTTCTCATTCTCACTTGTATCTCTTAAACTCTTTCATATTTTCCATTTCTTTATCTCTCTGTACTGACTGTATACTAGGTAATTTGCTCCAAAATTCTCTTCCAGCTATGTATGCATTTATTATTTTTCAAAATATCTTTATTGGAGTATAATTGCTTTACAATGTTGTGTTAGTTTCTCCTGTACAACAAAGTGAATCAGCTATATATATACATATATCCTCATATCCCCCTCCCTCTTGAGCCTCTCTCCCACCCCTCTAGGTTGTCACAAAGCAACGAGCTGATCTCCCTGTGCTACTTTATTATTAAAATACATTTTCTTTTACCTAGTTTTTCTATGTGTCTTGGGGGTGGGAGGAGAGGCTGTATTACCTCCGTTCATCATATTGCTTGTGCCAGGTCAGCATTTGTTTAATATTAATGGAAACAACATAGATATCACTTGATAAGGGAAATAGGTGCACATGTGTATAGGTAAATGACTGGGAGGCTATCTGCCGAATGTTAACTAAATTATCTCTAAGGGATGAAATAACTGAAAACTTTTTACTTTCTTTTTTAGATTTCTATGTTTTGAATAATTTAACAATTTTTATTTTTATGGTTGACAACATTATAAAGCTATTTCCATTTTTTTTAAAAGAAAAGTGAGTCTCAGCATCAGTGGGAACTTAGAACAAAAATATCACCTAATATTTATTAAACACTTTATATATACACCAGACATTGTTCTAAGTACCTTACACATATTACATCATTTAGTGTTCAAAAGGACAGAAGGTTGTTTTGTAAGGAAGGTAGGGTCTTAGGTAAAAGGACTAATAAAGAGGTTTTCTCTGAAAGATGGAAAAATGGCAAGGACATCCTTAGTAATGTTGCATAAAAAATAGTTTTACATTTTTGGACTGCACAATTTTCAGCTAGGTAACATGAAAATTTTGTATGGAAAATATTCCTTTAATTACATAGGAATAAACATTTGTTACACAGAAAAACGTAACAGAGCTAAAAAGATAAAAATTAAGTAACAGAGCTAAAGATAAAAATTAAGTTTGAAAGGAGATTGTTACACATTCATACATTCTTTTAACAGTATCAAAATATGGGAGTCATGTGTACAAAACTATGGCCTGTATGTAATATGATTAATACCAGGCACTTACAATGCCTGGGACATTATGTGCAAATCGTTAATGTGAATTAACTTCAGAATGTCATATTCTGCTTTTTTCTCTCTGCCTCTGGCACACACCATGAACAAAACACTTAACCCACGCTCACTATGAAACACTAAGTGACTAAGTGTAAAGTAGTATGAAAGGTACTTTATAAAGACTAAAGAATTCAGCAAACTATCTTCACTGTAACATCATAGTGGTGAATGTCTAACAATGAGGATCCAAACTAAATCCATCTAAATGAGATTCAAAACAAATGTCTACAGAAATTTTATAGCAATATTAAAGTATACTATATTTTCTGAGCCTCAATCTAAAAGAAGCTAGTATCATTAATTTTCAGGAGGGTTCTAAAAAATGTTACAGTGTAGTAGAAAGAGTTCTGCACTTTGAACAAAAGGACCTATGAATCAGGTATGGAATCTTAGGCAAATTAATTATTCACTTTGAACTCTGTTTTCCCTAATTATAATATGAAAATAATGTTATCTACCCTCCCTTTTAACTATTAAATGCAAAAACACCTCAAAACAATATGACAAAGTACTATTCAATAAGATGCTATTATTTTTATAAGAAAATCAACTATGAAACAAAGCATATTTCAACAATATATAGGGTAAGAGAAAAGTGGGATTCCAAAACATGGCAATGTGGTCATTAAGTACATCCTTCCTAGTAATTCTCTATCAAATATACAAGCATATCTAACAAGTGGCCTGGTGGTAAACCTTGCATCTCATCGAAAAAGAAAGCAATCATCATTTCAAGGTGATACTTTACCTAGTCATAAATTCCTCAAACTTTGAACTGGTAAGGTTAAGGCTGGACCAGTGTGTATCTGCCACAGGTTTGTGCTCTGGAGGACCCAGGTATGCAAGAAGCGTTGCCATCTTATCAAAAGGTCGCCTTCCAACAGCTTTGTGATCCCTAGATATAGCAAACTACTTAGGAAAAAGGTAGCAGTTCACATTTAGCAGAACACATTTCTTTAGATTGTCACTGGCTGCTTTTCTTTTTACTGTCAGCTGGTGGTTCCTGTTAATTTGTAAACAGAATCCAAAAGAGCTCAGGGGTTTTAAGTTTACACTGAGATGTCTTAGAAATATGACCACTCCCCAAACTACAAAATTCACATAAAAATTGATTTTGTTCTAGCATTAATCCATTACCATTAAATGGGCAATCAGCAAGTAAATATAACATTCTGATCCACTTTTTAGGAAGTGGACATACTGTCCCTGATATCAGATTTCTGCTTAATCAGGGTAAATATGAATTTTCAACAACTATTAAACGTTTAAAGATAACGACATTACTTCACAAACATCAAACTGGCAAAAAAATTATGAAGTTTGCTAATGCCAATTTTGATGAGGATGTGTATAAAGAGGTACTCTCACACAGTGCTGTCAAAGTGTAAATAAGCATGTACACTGTGAAAAGCAATGTGGCAATATCTAGTAAAGTTGAGGCTGGGTATACCCCAGAACTCGGCAATTACACATTTAGGTAATACACAAGGAGACAAACATGAAGAATATTTATTACATCACTATTTAAAATAATAAAAAACAGGAAACCCTAAATATCCATCATTTAGGAAGTGCAAAAATAAACTGTGATATAGTCATTCAATGAAATACTAAGTTAAATAAATGATAAATCTCAAATAGAATATTGTGTGAAGAGACTATACTCAGTGTATCACTGCTGCAAAATTTTAAACCACACAAAACTATATTATATGTACCTATGTTATACCTGTAATTCCCTTTTTCTTGTCAGTTACACAAGAGAGAAGTAATACCTTTTCTTCCCCAAGAAATAAAATGTTATAAAGATCTGAAGTAATTACAGAAAAATAAATAATGTTAAAGCTAGGTGGTAGACATGGGTCTCCGTTACATTATGGTCTATACTTCTTTTTATGTTTGGAATGTGTCTTTTTTTAAAAAACCAAATTGAAGAAAAACTCTCTAGTATTAAACTACATGAATATGATTGTAAGTTATATAAGAGTTTGTGCTTAAAAAATGCATTTAAAAGAACGCTTGCATTTAAAAGTTCCACAGTTTAAGTGCCACACAGATACAGAAAGTATCTTCCTCTTTCTATCTTAGGCACATATTAGTCATACCCATGTCTACTTCAAGCCATTAACAACTCTTAAAGGATTAAAATGCTCTCTCTTTTAAACTCCCATTTCCTAATTGGTTGCTAGCCTTAGCTTTATGGTCTTCTATTTTTCCCATGAATGAGCAAACCATTTTTATTGCCATTTAAAAGTAATCTGGACTCATTTTACCTTTGTAAGAGAACTCATACATAGGAATTTGGGCCCTTTATAAACATACATAACTAGAAAGGACAGCAAATGATTCAGGCTACAAGAGACTTTAACTAAAAACAGCAAATGAAACAATTCCCAAATTAATAATTTTCAATTATTAAGTATTGTCTATATAAAGCCATTTGCATATACTTAGAGTATCACAAATGGGATTATCATAGGATTGCAATAGAATAGCAATGTTTTAATTATTAAATTCCTAAGAATTAGGCTGCTCTTCAGATTCAGATGCCAATACTCACTTGAACTTCTAGTATATTTAAATTTCTCTATGTCTTGTTGTACATTATGTTTGCAACCCAGAAAAAACCCAAAAGGCTAGTTTGTGAATTCTTAGCTTAATTTTTTTTTTTTTTTTTTTTGGCTGTGCCGCACGGCTTGTAGGATTCTTAGTTCCCCCACCAAGGATCAAACCCAGTGAAAGCGCCGAGTCCTAACCACTGGACCACGAGAGGATTAATTCCCTCTTAGCTTAATATTTTTAAAAAAGTCTGTAGCACTGATGTAGGTTGGTTGATCATTTAATATGACTTAACCTGTTGCCTATATACTTTTAAAAAGAGTCTACATTTCTCTTTCCAAATCATAATTCTTATCTAAGAAGATGCAAAGTAAAAAGCATTCATGACCAATAATTTTATTGGTATGAATTTAAACTGGGCCTTCCCTGGTGGCCCAGTGGGTAAGACTCCACATGCCCAGTGCAGTGGGCCCGGATTCGATCCCTGGTCAGAGAACTAGATCCCACATGCATGCTGCAACTAAGAAGTCCGCATGTCACAAATAAAGATCCCACATGCCCCAACGAAGATCCCACATGCTGCAACTAAGACCCAGCACAGCCAAAAATTTATTACAAATAAATAAATACTAAAAAAAAAAAAATTTAAGCTGAGACTTTTCAATATCCCCATGACAGGGAAATTTTACCTGTTGCTGGAAAGATACTGGCCAATTTTCTCTTGATTGTTCCAGAGCAGACGATGTAAAGCAAGCACATTGCCATCACTGATGAAGGAAAGACTATGATTTACTGCATCACTTGTAGGACAATCGGATGCTATATCAAGGAAAAACCTTCAAAAATGCAAAGTTATTAGAATTTCAAAAACCAGATATACTCATATCTATGCTTGAATTAAATCTATGTGAAGTAACTTTGTGAAATTACTGCTATTACAAATATGGAGGTTTTATCATTAAACGAAACAAGAAGAGACAAGGAGAAAGTTGGTCTTCCATTTCTGATACCTGGTTACAGCTTCAGAGCAGGCTCTGAGGTCAGACAACGAAATTTAAACAGATGAGACTTTGTAGAGAAGCCAGTACTTTACAGATAAGGAAATGGAGGCCCAGACAAGACAAAAGACCTCCCCAAAGGTCTGTACAGCCTCTTAGGTCAAAGCCAGGATCAGAACCTTTGTTCTTTTAACTTTCTATGGGTAGTCAATCTGCCAGAATATAAATCCTATGCTGACATTCACTTCCTTTCCAATGTGAGTTGCAGTCCAACAGTACACCTTTTAAACTCCAATTAGACAGAAGTTCGCAGGAACTATAATGAAAAACTGGAAGAGAGTGTTGTACAAGTATAGCTTAGGCTGTGAGCCAAAACAATTAGATTCACACTGTATGAAAAGTAGAATTCTTGATGTCAACTTACATTTACAAAGCGCTTTCTCGTAAGTTATGTCATTTGCTTCTCTAAAATCAACTCACAGGCAAACATAGTGTTATACCTACTCTACAGATAAACCAGCAACTCAGAGAAAGAGAAGCAACTAGCTAGTTATGGGAACCTAGCAGAACTCAAGTTTTCTAAAATCATAAAACTTCAACAGTTATCCAGTTACTCATGAACAAAATCTTATGCATTTGCATCACGTGGTTTAAAGAGTAGCTTTTTAGTTTACATACATATCCAAATTAAAGTATCAAAAATATTCTAACATCAAAAAAACCTGTGATTATACACTATAATGCATTATCTGTACCAGTTTGGTTTTAGTTTTTACTGAAAGAAATCTTTTTCCTTCTTCCTCTCCTCCATATTGTGTCAAACTCAAATCCTTTATTTTAGGAGATATGTCAAAAACCCCTCCTGGTTTTTAAATATGGAAATCACTACCAGATTATAAAGAATATCATTTTATTTCATTACTGTCTTTTATAGTGGAATAAAATAAGATTATGTTCTTGACCAAGAGAGAAAAAAGAAAACAACCTACACAGGACCTTCATGTAGATCAAGTACATAGACTTGAGTGAAATTGAAAATATTTGATTCAAACAGAGCAACTGGCTAAGTATCAGGCTGCTCACCTTCGTGCTGCATCGAAGTTGCTTTTCACAAAATCATTAAAAGGCCGCATGTGCTCTTCTTTTGTGAAAAGGACATGATTGGCAATACTCTGAAGTACCTAAACAATAAAATAGGGTTATAAAGGATCTGATTGTTTATTTATGAAAGCTACACATTCATATATTCTTTAAAAAATATTAATTTTCTCACTGATACAATTTCTACTGGTAGTTAAAAATCAATTATTGCTCATTCAATAAATACTTGGTTTTGTTTCTATGCTTTCCCAAATATGAATATAATTATATAAACACGTATATATTTACATATATAAAATACAAATTAAAATTTTAATGTATTTTTTAATTTAAAAATCATATAGTATACATTTTGGTTTCCATTTCAGAATTTCCATAATGATTACATAGAAAACCATCTTCAGAAGACATTTGCTAAAATATTTTCAAATGATAATAAGGTCCATCGGTATCAGTCTAATGAATTTCTTTGTGATATAAACAAAAATAAAACAAAAGCATATAAGTGAAAACCACAGGGCATTTCAAAAATTAAGAGAAAGTACAGTGAATACAAAAAACTGAAAATTTATGGAAGAGAAATTTTGAATAGCTATATTATCAAAATGATTCTTCACCTTTGACATTAACTTCAAGCCTCTTTCGATTCTAGGTGGTGGCTTTTTATCTAGAATCCCTGCTTCATATGGTGAGACAATGGCAGGATTGATAAATCTGAGAAACATGGCACTTCCCACTGCACCGATGCTGTTCTGAGGGAAACGCTGGCTAACCACCTAAAAACAAGGAGTTGAGAATTCAGTATATGGTTTGAGTTAAAACAAGGAAATGGGAAGAAAGGGCTTGAAAGTCAAACTTTGCACAAAAATGCTGAAAGACCAATCCTTGTGAACAACACATGCCTAATTTTTCCTACTCCCAAAACATCAGTAAACAAAAATTTATCCTCAATTCTTGCCCTCTATCATTTAAAAGCACAATAAAGGCATCTAAGAAAAAAAGAGAAGTCTCATAGATGAGTTGTGTAGAAGAGATCTGAAAAAAGATCTTAATTTTATCATCACTGTTTATACTGCAGATTTGATGAGCAACGAAAGCAGAACAAATTTTCACACAAAGATTATCATATTTTACTAAGATTACAAGACATGAGAGTGTGGTCAACTCTTGTAAGGCAAAGCTAAATAAGTTTTCAACAGCATACACCTGAAACATCCAATACCTAATGGTAAATACTTACATTTTGCTGTATACCAGGTACAATTAAATTTCTTGAGCAAAATGCTTGCCATATACAAAACAAAACTTAGTTTTCTTTGATTCCTATCGAGAGAAAAAACTTACTTACAAGTAACATTATTGCCAGTTCTTTTTCTTCATCAGAATGCTTTATAAGGGCCTACTTATTATTTAAACCATGGAGGAATGGGAATTCTTGGGGACCTAAAAGAAAACAGGATCCCACCAGCAAAAGAGAGAACCCCTATGTGTACCTCAATTTGTAATTCTGTCAAATAAAAAAAGTTAAAGATACAAGAAATCGTTGCCCACGCTGAAAAACAATGTGAGCTCAACATTTTAAATGGATTTATTTTCTCTTTTTCTCTTTATAAAACATTCCACTTTGAAGGTAAATTAGACTGGGAAAGTGCTATGAAGCTGGCTCAGCTCCCATCTTTTCCTAGCATGTCCTGTTTTAAATTAACACATGAAAATTATAGTTTTCTGAAATTTACATTTGTTACAGATAACACACATATTTATTTTTAAAGAACACTCATATAACATTTAAATCTCTACAACTATTCATGCTTAGCGTGGCTAACTGCTGCTGAAAGCCATGCTGACTAACGGCAAGGCCGCAGTACTCCACTCAATGTTCTGGGATTCCAAGGATAAACCTGCATTTCAAAGGCTACTGGGGGAAAATGAGAAAACAGGATTTATATGCAGAATCTCACATAGCTCTAGTTTTCTTCACAATGCCTCAAAAAAATAATACTTCTTGTCATGAATTCTCATGGCTGACTGACTCAAGATTAACTCTGGAAAGAATAAGAATCATTTCACTTCATTCTATTTCCTTCAGTGCTTCATGTGGTATACATTTTAAATGTGTTGTTATTCACTGCCTAAAATCTCAAAATAATTTTCAACTACATATGATAGGAAGTTAGTAAAAATAAGACTTTAGAGAATGACTTTTTAAGCTGAGAAAATCTTTCTGAGAGGTGATAACGGGGTGAGTTATAACTAATATATTCTCACCTTCGTGTATACTGCATAGCTCAGGAAGCTTTCTTGGTGTTACAGTACTTGGAGTGCTATTGCATGAAGGACAACCTTACACCTCAGTAAGAGGAAACTGGTGAAGGTGGCTAAACACAGCAGTCTTAGAAGAATGGCTTTAAAACCTAAATACTGTTTTAGTTATTTTTAGCTGAAATACAGTTTTGGAAACAGAATTAAGAAGAAAACACAAGTGCTTTTACTACTCTAGTACAGTGTTTAACCTTTCGGGGAGTAGGAACAGAAAAATGAACGTTTACTTTCGCACAGACAAAACTCTTCATAAATTTTAGAATGTTCACAGACCACCATTGCTACTGCTTGTTTCTTTTAGAACTCACAAATTTTAATCTTAAAAGATAAGAAACACCTCAACAAACCTACAAATTTTTAAAGCCTTTAAGGAGTGAGTTAGCAAGAAGGAACGGGATTAAAAACTGCTTTATATTTATAATTGCAAATAGGTTGTTTTAAAAGAATCGCATATATTCAGTTTAATCCATTAAAATCCTGAAATGGTTTTTAAAGAAGTAAAAGTTAAGAGTTTGGTTTCCAAAGAACTGGTTAATTGTAAAATACTAACCTGCTGGGAAAGTGTCTCAAAAAAATCAATTACTTATATGCACACAGAGAAGTCTTTTAAAATGCATTTTTAGAGTAGCTATTTCCTGGTTTTCTCTAGGACAGAAAAGCTTTTAAAGTGTGATGCACATTTATACCTGATTTAAACTCAATCTCAGAATTTCATGAATATCTGAGTGAATTATTTCCCTAACGGATTATTGTAAAAATTATGAAAGGTACTACACCTTCACTAACTTCCACATCTTCAAAAATAATTCATGTCAAAACTCAGAAGTATCCACACTACAAGAACACATATTGTTTCATGTATCATATAATTATGTATCTCACCAATAACAGTATATTTTTGGAACTAAAACCTGATAAAACAATCAATACCCATAAAAATGCTCAACAACAAATTTTATGGTTAATTTATTAAAATACTTCTTTTCCTTTCACCACAAATTAACATCAGTGTAATTTTACCTCATAATATACACATACTCAAGTTGTTTTTATTTTTAATCTGCAAAAATCTAATTTGTATCCAAAAGACATTCTGCATAAAAGGTCAAAGTAGGGCCAGTCTGAATGCTGAAACCAATTATCAGTCAAATGTCCCGTTTACTTACCTCCCCGCCCACCCCCCCATAAAAGCTGAACTACAGGTTACAAATAAAGGCAGTCATACACTGTACATCATCAAGAGAATCACAACCCATCTATCCTTAATTACCTGAGTTAGGTTGACAACTTCTCAAAGGAAATCTAATTTACAGTATATGTTTGAGTATGATAAAGAGAATTATCTATAATATGATTACACAGCTATATACCAGAAGCCAGAACCTTCTCTCCATATTTTACACATTACAATCCATGGTACATACACCCCAAAAGAAAGTTAACTTGCTTTTTAGATCAGTAGATTCTGTTAAGCCAACAACTCCATAAACCAACATTTTAAATTTATAGTAACTATACTGTCTTCATACTTTGGAATGTGTTCTAAAATATCTTAAATTGCCAATTAGATTTCCTTTGTTTCCACAAGGACCTCATATCACTTGTGCTGAGAAATACATTCCAAAACTTAGTGTTACCCAGAAACATTTTTTTTTTAAATCTGAAAATAACACTAGAAAAAAACATTTCAAGGAACAATTTTAGACAAAATCTTAATAAATAAAGCAATGTTAGGAAGGCTAAAAAACATGCTCTAGAGAAAAAGAGAAAGCCTGAATTTTAATTTATGTGATATACTACACAATGGTATTAGTAAAACACCAAACAAGAGTGTTAGAAATAGTAAATTAATTTCAACAGTGATGGTGTATATTATGTTAAATCCACATATGCTGAGAAATAGAAGGCTGAAGCATTAGAAAGAAATGTTTTTATTAAGTAAGATGGCCATCCAATCCAATCCGTTTGCTCACAGCTGACCAAATTTACTTAACGTATCCAAAAAGGAATCTCTAGAATGGACATAAAAGCATGTCTCTAAATTTTAATTTAGTTCTGAATTTAAAATAGAAATTTATTATATGTAAAGCTCAGATGAGAAATGAAAGATGAAACCAGATGAATACACTAAATTTTACCTTTTAAAGTAAACTACCTACGTGACTCCTAAAGCTTTTCTTTACATCTTTCTCTAAATTTATTTGGATTGTATGAACAAAGGTAGTACTGAGCCTGATAAAGATCAGTCATACTGACAGATAATGGCAAATTTAAAATGAATGCACGTTAATATTTTGGACAAATGTCACTCACAGGAAGAAAATAATTATGACTACCATAATTTTCTTCCTTTTAAATTAGGGCAAGTTCATAGAAGCAGGTAAGTATATGCATATCATGTTTGCAAATAAGGTGTTTCTCTATAAATATGGACTCACTTTTATTTCAGAAGTACTATAATTCTCAGTCCCAATAGTTTAATAATGATTTTCTCTAAGGTAAAAGTGGTTTTGTTTTACCATTAGAATTTTTATAATCTAAGCACAATTATCTAAATCCTGGCTGAGACTGTCTAGATAAAAATATAAGAAGTAAAAAATAAACTTTAGCTACTTTTAGGTAAGATTTATTAGAAAGTGACACTTTCCTTCCATGTACTTCTAACAATTAAGGAAAACTTTCATCTCTAGGAAAAGAAATCACTCACATTACCTGCAAACAAGAAGCAAGAATGAAGAGAGTCAGCATTTCCTAAGGCCTTGAAATTAAGTTTCTTTGGCATTCATTTATAATTTAAAGAATAAATAATAAAATTAGACCAGGGATATCCAATGCAACAAATGCCCCCAAAATACCTTTGGGATAAATCAAACCAAAGGAACACAGAGAATGTTTCAATGTAACTTAATTCCAGGGTTAATTGAAATGAAAGCTACTTTGTGCCAGAATTAGTAGAATGATTTTACAGTGAAGGTCAAATAGGCTGAAGTGAAGATGTTCTTAACAAACAGCAAAAGATTTTTGTTTTGCTTTGAAAGAAACAGCTAAAAAAAAGTTCTCCAAACTTACTGATTTTTTGTTTTCCTTTTTTTCTTTTACTGTAGCTTTATTCAGTAGGGAGTGGCAAGTTGCCTACAGAACAGAGATGAGCACAAACAAGTCACAGCACCAACTACATACAGCAACAAAAACAATGTTGGCTTGTACATAAAATTACATGATCAAAATGTAACACAAATGGAATCAACAAAAAATTAGGAATCAACTTAATTTTGAGGGATGAATTTTATCTCTGGATTTTAATTTTTATTACATTTTTAAGCCAAAGCATAAATAGCAAGAAATGCTGAGACAATCATATCTACTATTTCTGGCTATAAATCGCAGAAAAGCTCTCCTCAAGTGAATGTGAGGATATTTAATATTTACATTTCAGTTAAATCCTAGCTTTTGATAAATTTTATATAAAATGTTCATTACAAATAGATCATACTCTAAAAACACTTCTATGCGTCTACATAATTTTTTCTTGATACATATATTTATATATACTTCTCTGTGTATCCTTCAATTGACTTAAAAAGTTCTTTTTCCAATAGCTAGCATTGAATTCCTATCCTACTGATTAAAAAAATAAACATTAAATGGCTAAATATAATAGAAAAATACACTTTAGAGATTCTGAGCTAGTCTCTCTCTCTTTAAGAAAGATTACTCTTACAATTTCACTTATTTTTGTTTGCAGGCTACTTCCTGAAAAAGTTCTAATCAGAGGAGGTTAAAAGCTCTGCAACGTTTGGGGAAAGAATGTTATCAGCTCAACTAGAAATAAGCATTAATATTAAAGTGAAGAAACTGCAGAGAAAATTACAGAATAAAACTGTAAGCCTGCTTAAAATTTTTCACAGATTTGACCATTTATCAGAATGTCTCCAAAACACACACACACACACACACAAAAACAAAAAAAACCCCAAAACCCACAGAGACATATTGGTTTCATCTCTCAGAGCTCCTCCTAGGCCAAAGAGCTCTGTTAAAATTAAAAGACTCCTGATTGGACTAGACTAGGCACAATAATTATTTTTAAAATATCTTGAAAACAAATTAGAATTCTTTAATCCACCATACACGGCATTTTATTCTAAAAATTCTGTGCATTCAACACCATAACCCATAATAACTTGGCATTAGTTTGATATTTGTTCATCCATCCATCCATCCATTCATCCAAGTAGTTACTGTGCACCTACGTGCTAGATACCATTCTAAGCACTGGAAGAAAGCAATAAAATAAGAAGACACGGTCCTTTTCTCAAGGAGCTTTGATTCAAACTTTAGACTATATACAAAAGCACTAGTAACCCAATTTATCCCCAAAATGCAGTTTTATACACTTTTTATTTTCAATTACGGTATATAACCATCAATTATAGCCTTAAAATTTTTGTGTAAACGACTTCTGTTTGGAGAAGCACATTTGCTACGAAAAGACGACATTTATTTAGAATCATATTTAGCTCTTTCTCAGAATTCTCTCACCACAACTTAGGAGAATATCCAATCTGGGAATTGTTTTCTCATTATTCCAAAACTATCAGGAGGAAAAGTGGAAATAAATACATGAGAAAATGTCTCAGTTATAAATCTAACACATGTTCACAGTTGGCTATTCCTATATAATCTTAACCCAGTCCACTAAGTAAGGAGACATATAAAATGAAAGACATGGTTAAACCATGATTTTAAAAAGGCTTAACAGTCAAAAGTACTAACTCAAGACCTAAAGCTCAGAGAAATTTATTAGCTAGCAATATACTCAGCTTTCAAATCTTCCCCAGTAGGTCCCAAAGCAGGAGACATATTTACTAGAGGGAAAAAAACAATCGACTACTATCCCTCCCAGCAGAACATAAAAGTACAAACGGACCATTATGTTATTTCCAAAGTCAAAAGGGCAAGGAAAAGCCAGAAGAGGGAAGATGAATAAAAATAAAAGAGCAAACTAAGGGAAAAACTACATTTGGAAGGAGACTCAATGAAAGAGTATCTTGAGATCAAAGTTTATTTTTTTTTCATTTTTAATTAGTAAATGTAAAATTTCCTGTAATCAGTCACTTATCAAAAAATAAACTTTTATTTATAAATAACATAGCATATATTTCCTCTACAGTATTGTACATTCCAACAATAAGTTTATCCAATACGTCCCCAAAATGCACTAACATTTAAATAATATTATTAAAGGGAGTGATTGTATGTGAAATTTTAATACAATAATTCAGGTCTGTTGTAATATGGGATATTGTATTATGGAATGTTTTAAAAAGCACTACACATAGTGGTTAATAAGCCACCAATTATCAACTAGCATTATTTTCTGCATTATTTTCACTTCCCTCCCTTCCTAACTATGAAAGCTGACAAGAATCTTGTTTACTTGGGTGGGAGAAATGGGGTTATTTATTTCTTCATTAAATATTTTCTAAGTACTTACTAAGTGCCAAGCACTTAGTTCCTTTTTCCTTATCAAGTGGGACTCCAAGTTTGCTGATGATACAAAAATTGTTTTCTTTTAGGGAGACAACCACATGAAGAATTTCTACTAAAATCTACTAGAGACCATATATGTAACCAGGCAGTTAGTACCCATTCACTTCTAACCAGCTAAAGTCAAAGCCACTGCCACTTGAGAAATTCATTTGCTCTCTGAAAACAGTTACTATTAGGCCAACCAAGAAGTTGGTCCAGACTATTTTTAATAGGTGCTCACCATTTCTTATCTGCCTAGTTATATAAACAGAAAGGACTGAATTGGATTTGAAGAGAAACCTGAATAATGCCCAGACTTAAGCTATTCCTTACTGTATTAGATTTCATATTATAACTAAACCACCCTCTGGTCTCAGATTTAACTAGCTGAAAAAATTATGTGGGGCTCTCCTAAGCTTCCTTGAGCTATTTTGAAAAGGCAGGAAAAGTCATGATAAATTAAATTAAGAGAGTTTTAATGCTAAGTATGCTTCATCATCTACAAACATGATGCAACATTTTTTTATAGATACAGCAGATACATCTTTATAAATAGCAATGGGGGAAAAATTCACAAAGAGCAGCCTGAAACAGCTTTTTTAAATGACAATTTCACTGATCTTGCTAATGTCTCTAAGCAACCAAAGCCCTGTGCTAAAAAACAAATGGCTGGGGATAACTCTGCAAAGAAAAAGACACAAAAGGCATGGGTTTTGATAAATACATACATTTTTTCCCCTATACCTGCCCCTGTCCCAAACTCCAGACCCACTAATGTTTCTTCCAGAATCACAGTTTTAACAGGCTAATGTGGATTTGCACTAATCTCCCTTGGAGTGATTAAATCATTTCTGAAACTGCATATGCCGATCAAAAACACAGTGGAAGCCATAAAAGAACACAGGTGCAATTTCCTTAGCAAGTAGGGGATGACTGTGGACATCTGAACTCAGAAGCATTACTTGCAGTTCTGGTGTTGGAAAGTCTAATAAATTTGACATGAATGATGATGCAATATATTTTATAAGTAGCATTCTACATAAAATAAAACATCAGCCTGTCCTGGGAAAACCTGACACAAACACAATAGAGCTTAATAAAAAAATCAAAATTATGGATCAAGCATTTCACAACACAAAAAACAAGGAGTAGACCAGCCTCATATGTGAAAGACCCTATGAGTAATTTAGGTACAAGATAAAAACAACAACAAAAATTCCGTAATATATCTCATTTCAATCACATCTATTATACCCAGTAGATTTGGTGCATTTTAAGCTTGTTCTCAACGCAAGGAAAATTTCTTATTTTTAAAGTACCCCCTTAAACTACTTTATATTTTTAAAGCCAATTTAAACAATTCTTAATGTATTATTCATCCAAACTGATTCAGTATTATCAACCACCCACTATTAGCAGCTAAATCCCTCTTTGGTAAAGCATTTTTTAAAATTCAGCTGTGGATTAATAATGGTAATCTCTAACCTTAAGCATACCTGGTACAGACAGTGGCACACACTTCGTAGCTGAGGGGGAAATTCGGAGGAGGAACTGATGATGGCATGGAAGAACTTTTCGGTCATCTGAAGGAGGTTTCGCTGGTTTTCCTCAAGGCTCTCTGACTGTTCTAACCTATCGAGAGGAAAAAGAAAAAAAGCAAAACCAATTAAAAACAAACAAACAAACAAACAGACATACTCCTTAAAAGAGACTCCTTAAGAGACATTCAGCCAAATGCAACATTTGGACTTTGTTGGGAACCTGATTTAAACAAACCAACTACAAAAAAGGCAATTTTGAGAATTGTGTATAAAAATTCTTCTCCCTCTATATTTTCACAAATTTAGTATATGATTTTATTTTTTTGTCCATCTAGTAGGTAGGAGACTGCATCTCACATTTTTAACTTTTATTTCCATGACTTCAGTAAAGTTAGACATGCTTTCAATATTTTGTGGCCATTCAGGCCCTATTTTCAACTGCCCTTCATATCCAGTTTAATATCTCTAACTGCTAGGTGTCCCTCTTGCCAGTACCTAAAATTCAGTTTGTTCAAAATCAGCTGATTTTTTTCCTCCTACTTGTATGTCTCATCCTGTGTTCCCCATGTTGTCAACGGCACCATCACTGTTTCAATCATGTCATTCAGATGACCTCTGATGTCGTCTTTGCCTGCAGTACTCCATTATTCCCCACATTCAATTATTGTTGCTAATTCTTCTGTATGATTCTTTTTGTTTTAAGGTATTTATTTATTTATTTGGCCGTGCTGCACAGCATGCAGGATCTTAGTTCCCTGACCAGGGATTGAACCCATGCCCCCTGCAGTAGAAGCACGGAGTCTTAACCACTGGACCGCCAGGGAAGCCCCTCTTCTGTATGATTCTAAAGTCTTGGTGCTGTGATTAAAGGCAGATATTCAGAAGGCAAACTCACTAGGTTTAAATTTCAGCTTTACCACTTATTGACCATTATGACCTTGGTCAAGATACTTAACTTCTCTGAGCCTCATTTTTTCCATCAATAAGACAGGAATAATTACAATGCCTACTTTATGGGGTTTAAATTTTACCCAATGGCTCTCAAATCCACAAACCTTTACTTGAGCTGCCCAACCGAACTCTCAAAACACATTCCCTATGAAAGTCACTACTTAACTACTTGTTATACGTCTTATCTCCCCTACTAAACTGTAAGATCCTTGAAGGATGTATTCATCTTTGACCCCTTAAAAACTAGCATAGTACCTTACCAAAACAATTATTGAATAAATACTTGTTTTCAATCTCTTAACTAGTAATTTTCTTTCTATACTAATTTACATATTACATAAAAGTTTGGGACACTCCAGATTCCTTGCAGCTCACCATGTGGTGCAGCATATGGATACAGTAAGAGTTTGGAAATTAATGCAGATGACAGGCAGGAAAGATTTCATGGACTAGATGAGTTCTAAAGGAGGGAAAGAATCTGCACAGGCAAAAAGAAGTAAGGGCATTTCAGAAAGAAGAAGGCAGGACAAGCACACAGTTCAATCTGATAAACATTTATCATGCATCTACTATTTGCCATCTTAATGCCAGGTGCTGAGGATTCAACAATAATTGGCCTTTGAACCTCTCAAAGAGGGGAGAGAAGTACACACTAAGTAATGAGTACAATTATTCAAGGATATAAAAGACAAAATAGCAAACCAGAGACAGACACGATTAATTCACATGGCAACTGGTTGCCGGGAAGTCAGAGGCAGAAAATGAACTTGGGATATATGGGGAACTAAAAAGAGACTGGTCTAAACATGGGGGCTTTATGAAGGGAGATCACTTAAGAAGCTACAATAGTAACTCAAATCTGAGATATGGAGGGCATAGAAGCTTTGCGTATGAAAGAAAATATTAACAGTATATTTAACAGGGCTAGAAGAGATTTCTAGAAACCTTGACAGTTCTTGTCTACTTTGTGGGAACTTTTTCTTAATGAGTCAACACAGCAGCAGGTGTGCTGCTGGTCTGTTTCAGATGTCCCTCTAATACATCTATCCCTCATGCCTCCCACATGCCAATGATAACTTATTGGCTATTCCATTAATTCTGATCTATAATGAAGCTTTGTGTTCAATTATTTAAGTGTTTGTGTGTATAAAAATTTTTCCCTCTGATTTTCAATCAGCTTTTGTTTTTGTTTCCTATTGTTTTCCTGTTTTTAATTTCATTGATTTCTAATTTTTATTTCTTTCCTTCTGCTTGCTTTAGGTTTATACTGAACTTTCTCTAATTTTCTAAGGTGAAAGTTTAGGCCATTCATTTTAGATCTTTCTTCTTTTCTAATATATGCATTTAATGCTGTAAATACTATATTTCACTACATTCCACACATTCTGATAAGATGCACTTTCATTTTCATTTAGTTTTTCTTTTTCTTTGCATTTCAGTTTTGGAAATGTCTATTGACATATCTTCAAGTTCACTAATTCTTTTCTCATTTGTGTCCAGTCTACTGATAAGCCCATCCAAAGGCATTTTTCCTTTCTGTTACAATGTTTTTGATTTCTAGCATTTCCTTTTGATTCTTTCTTAGAGTTTCCACCTCTGTTTAAATCACCCACCGGTTGTTGCATGTTGTCCACTTTTTTCCATAGAGCCCTTAACATATTAATTGTAGTTATTTTAATCCTTGTCTGATAATTCCAAAATCTGTCACACCTGAGTCTAGTTCTGATGCTTGCTTTGTCTCTTGAGACTGTAATTTTTTTGTTGAAAGACCCAAGACATAATGGGTAGCAGGAACAGAAACAAAGAGGTCTTTAGTGTAAGGTTTTATGTTAATCTGGCTAGAACTTAGGTTGTGCTTAATGTTTGCTGTAGCTATAGGTGTCAATTTCTTCCGGTGTCCTTGTTTTTGTCTACCTAGTTGTCTGGGATTCCCTAGTTTTCCCTAGGAATTCCTTCTTAGGGTCTCTGTGTTGAAGCTCTCTGCTGTAACCCACTTTTAATACACTGGAGTCCTGTTGATGTAGTAGTGAGGTACTGGGGAGGGGAAGCAGTCTATAATCTTATGCTTATATCTCCACTGTTTTACTGGGCCAGAGTGGCTGGGTTGTGACCTTCAAAAGAATTTCTTAGCCTTTTTTCTCCCCTTATGTGAGTCAGGAAGGCTAGAGGAGGCTGAAGTTGGGTAACTGCCCATCCTCCAGGTCAGATAAGGCTCTGATAGTAATCCTTAAAGGCAGGCCTTTGTAAGGGAGAACAGAACACTATGGGCATATTACAAAATGGTTACTCTTCCCCTTCCCCTGCCCAGAGCACAAGGGGACTTTTCTTCCACCTTCACCATGAGAACCTGGTAGGGTTTCTAGAGGTCAAACTCACAGAAGTGTGGGGGTCCCCCTGACACAGGGCCCCCAGGAGCTTTCATTCTCAAGCTAATCCACACTCAACCTCCAGCAAGTTGTCAATTACAGCCTAAGTGTTCCTACCAGTTACTGACTCCAGCAGCTGTTTCTCCCTGTAAGCTGGGATTCTCTGAATTTGGCTGTCATGCCAGTTTTTTCCCTTTTTTTGGGGGGGGGGGGGCGGTGCCCTTCAATTCTCTGATGAATTTAAGAAGAGTTGCTGATTTTCTGTTTTCAGCTTTTTCTTGTTATGAACATAGCAGTGTCAACTTCCAAGCCCTCTACATGTCAGAAAAGATGTCAACTTGATTTTAAGTAACCTGAATATAGGTAGCTTGTCATCTAGTTCCCTTCTCTGTGCCAAAGTACTTAGTACAGTAGATTTCTTTCAGGCAGTAGTTCACTCTCTAAGTAATTTTTACCCTTTAGAAAGTGAAATTGCTAAATGGTAACAAAATACAAGATGACATTAAAAGAATGTCGCTTTTAAGTTTAAACTACAACTTTTAAACCATTTTAACAATAACTGGTTAATTTAGGTGCCAGAGTTCTGATTAGATATTACCGTTGATACTTCAGCAAAGGCAGAGCCAAAAATACCAACTGATACGAAGTTGCCAAATAAAACTTTTAGGAAGAGAAACCATCAAGAAGCTCTGAACTTGAAAATAAAAAATAAAATAATGTTAAGGTCCTAACTGAAAGACAAGAGATGTGGCTTAGAAAAAGCAAGCATAAGTGTTAAAAATTTCATTCAACAAATATTTATGAAATGCCAACTATAAGCCAGATACCATGGGGACAGGTAGAAAGCTTCATGGAGATGGTGGTTTTTAAACTGCACCTTACATTACCCCTTGGCCTCTTTCCCTTCTCCTAAGTCAATCCACATTATAGGAGGAAGAGCGAGATAGATTAAAAAAAAAACAGAGTCAAGCATGCTCAGTTCAGTGCCGTCCTCTCCATTCTAGATATGTCTGCCTGCAGAAAAGATATAATCTGGTCTTCTCTCCACTTGTGATAAAAAGCTTGCCAGCCCCTGTGATGGAAGCCTGTAGTTTACCCAGCTGTGCAAGGGATGGGGAAGATGATTCTAATTCAAGGTGATGTATTAGCAAGCCTATGCTACATGCCCACAGGATCTAAAGCCCCACTCTTTAATCATTTTTATCAGAAATAAAGGAGACAGCTGATTCCTGGGTGCTTCACTCCCATCCCTCCCCTCCCTCTGCCCTTTTGGTTTTGAACTTGGTGGGGGGAAAATGGGTATTACTTATTAGGCAACTCTAATCCCAATGAACCCCATGTTGTCAAGCCACTTTAACAATGTACAACATGCGCATATTTCACTGGAGTTAAAGTACAGAGAACACATGAAAGAATGACAAGTAGTGATGTGGATTATAGTCAGATGAGTTTTTTTCTTGCAGTCAATGGGGAACAACTGATGGTTTCTAAGAAAAAAAGTGACAAAAAATTTTAGGTTTCAGAATAATTCCTGCAGTAAATGATCTGCAAATAAAAAGATAATGCTAGGACAATAATTAGAAAGCTACTACAAAAGTCAATGGGATTGGGATTTCCTAGGTAGCACGGTGATTAAGAATCCGCCTGCCAATGCAGGGGACACGGGTTCAAGCCCTGGTCCGGGAAGATCCTGCATGCCGCGGAGCAACTAAGCCCACGTGCCGCAACCACTGAAGCTTGCACGCCTACAGCCCGTGCACCGCAACAAAGAGTAGCCCCTGCTCGCCACAGCCAGAGAAGGCCCGCACAGAGCAACAAAGACCCAATGCAGCCAAATAGTAATTATTTTAAAAGTCAATGGGATCGATATGGCATTGGCTAAATAATGATATTGCCAAACCACAAAACATTATGCAGCAGTTAAAAAGAATCCGGTTCATTATCTTTCTATGCTGACAAAGAATGATCTAAGACACAGGGTTATGTTAAAAAAAAAAAGTTGCAAAACCATGTGTATATTGATAATATCTTACCATTTATATTAAGTGCTCATATTATAATATAGTTTCTACCACTAGAAACATGTATATGCAAATGAATTGAAAAAGGACAGAAGAACGGCCTAACTAGTAACAGTGCTATGTCTCTAGAGGTGACAGTCAAAGACACCTTTAATGTTATTTGTAACTTTCTTTAAGAAAAATGTGTTTGAGGGACTTCCCTGGTTGTGCACTGGTTGGGACTCTGTGCTCCCAGTGTCGGGGGCCCGGGTTTGATCCCTGGTCACGGAACTAGATCCCACATGCATGCCACAACTAAGGAGCCTGCGAGCTGCAACTAGGGAGCCTGCCTGCTGCAACTAAGACCCAGCGCAACCAAATAAATAAATATTTTTTTTAAAAAAAAGAAAAGAAAAATGTATTTGTGTGTAACTTTTATAATTAAAGACTAATCTTAAGAATCAAGGGGAGAAATTATGAGGGCCTTGCCTCATGTAGTGGAAATGAAAAAATGGAGAGCTGTTGCAGATAAGAGGATGACACACCTGGTAGGATCTACTTCAAAGCTAACATGCTGCCAATCAGAGGATGTGATCACAATCCGTAATAAAGGATCCAGGAGTTTCTGTAGGTAGGTAGCACCATATACCTAAAGAAATACACAAGTAGGAATTTATTATGCCGGCTCCAAATATCTTGCATTAAAGAAGACATTCTGCTCTGTACATAATCACTGTTTGGCATATCTCCGCACCAAAAAAAAAAAAAAGATAAATGGATACAAACCTTGAAACAGAAGGTCATTATTTTACTGGCCAAGCTGTTGCCTCGGAAAAGAGTCTGCATGGAGTCTGCCAATTCTACTTCCTTAGAAAACATGTTCCAGAGCAGTTGGTAGAGTAAATGCCGAGAGTCAAATAGAGTCACTAGAACTCGAGCTAGTTCATCCTGAGAACAAAATAAAATTGTGTCAGTGTAAACAGTTCCATTTTTCCTTAAGCAGGAAACTGAAAGGCAAATTCAAAGCTGACAACCACCTGCTGAACTGAGGTATATGGTGAATGATTAAGTTTTCCCCTGGGATTTATCTGTGTATATCTGTCTATGACAGATGACTATTTCTATACACTACAGTAGCTGCTAACTCTAAGGATTAAATGATAAAAGGTAAGAGAGGCCAAGGCTTTACCAGAAGACAAAAAAAATCCAGGATTCAGTTCAAATTCTATGACAAAATGAAAGAAAACAGAAATAGAAGATGATGGCAAAGAGTTTGATATGCACAGATCATTTTCTTAGAAAATCAATGAGGGCAAATAAGACTTCGGTGACCACAGAGCTCTACTCTCTTCTTATATGGTCAGGGAAACTCAGTGAACGCTGAACACGGCTAGGCAAGAAACAACAAAAATGGAAAAACTACAGGATTTGCAGCAAGTCAGGACAAAGACCTAGGCTGTGCATTCAGAACCAAAAGATTAGCCAGATTTACATACAAAGTGGGGATGGGTGGCTAATTCCCATCTAGGTCCTAAACGATAAGCCTCATAATTCCCCACAGTAAAGTATCTTTTGGTACACTCAAGAAAAATGAACGTGATAGTAAATCACTGTTTAACCATACATGTTGGGAAGAGATTTAGAGAGAACAGGGGTAGCCATAATAAGATGGCCCAAACTTCAATCAGTGACAACAAAGCCAGGATCATGGCCTGTAGCTCCTCTAATTCTTGTCTGGTCCCAGGATTATTATAATCTGTTATTCGAATAAAGGAAAAAATTTAACAATCCTAACCACAGATAACTGAAGCCAAATACGACCCAATACGCTGCTATACTTCCTACAGTTACATAATACATAATTGACTAGATATAAAAATTCTATCCTCCATTTTAAAGCCAAGTGTAATTACGAGAGATAATTCAGTTACAAAATAAAACTATTTTTAGACTGTTGTGCTAGTTTTTTCCACTCTAATCCCTCCCCTGCAAAATTCTGAAAACTTTAAGCACCAGAATTTATTTATTTATTTATTTATTATAGTATTTTAATTTATTTAAGAATAACATAATAAAAATAACATCATAAATCCATAACATGTTAGCATAAACAATAGTTTTGGTAAAAATAATTATATTTTCCAAAACAACAACAACAAAAATCTGTGAAGAGTAGTGTTGTTTTGTATTTTTGCATTTTTTAAAAGTGTCTGGCTTTATAAATGGTAGTTGAATTTTCATATAAGCACCAGAATTTAAATTTACAAAATAGAACTAAAATTTTTAAAGTTATCTTGTATTTTGTTTAGATACAGTTCAAATAGATCTGGCCTAATATAAAAGTCCTTCTGTAAAAAAAAGTCATTTAGTATAAAACACATAAGAAATGATTTACTGAAAGAAAACAAAATGATTAAAGCCTCTTGGACTTAACTAATTCTATTTTATTGAAAAAATTACTGATAATTTTTAGCGCTAATTATAGGTAGGTGCTAAAAGGTAATTCAGAATTCCATTTTCAAAATATATGAAGATCTGTGAACTAATGTTAGGCTTCAAGAGGATTTCAACAATTTCCTTTTTCTAACTCACTAGCTACAAGCAGGATTCCATCTTCATTCATTAAACAATTACTTACTGAGTCATTGTTATATGCCAGGTTGTACTTCAAGACCTGGAACTACAGCAGTAAACAACATAGACATACTCTGCTCTCATGTAGCTCACATTGTGGTGGAAGGAGACCAAGCAATCAAATAAACAAGATAATTTCACATAGTAAATAACTGCTGCAAAGAAAATATAACAAGGAATGGAATAAAATGACTGTGAGTGTGGTTTTGATTGGATGGCCAGAAAAGACCTCACCAGGAAAGTGATATCTGACTTGAAACTTGAATAACAAGAGACCAGGGAATAAGTATTCTAGGCAGCAGCAGCTGCAAGGGTGCTCAAGGGTAGAAATAAGCCTAACATGTTTGATGGCCAGTGTGGTTTCAGTCTGGTGAACAAGAAGGAAAACGGCATAAGATGATGTCAGAGATGAGGCAGGGCCCAGGCTGGGTAGAGCCCTGTAGACCAGGGTAAAGAGTTTGAGTTTCATTGTAAGTATGAAGAATAAGATCCTACAGCTTTTAAGCAGAAACACATCTACAGGCAACAACAGATTACATATAATTAGATACAATTATAGATATAATTATAAATTAGATATAATTTACTAAAATGAAATGAAATGAAATCATTTTCAGTACAGTATAAACTAAACAGCTTTTTAACATGGAAAGGGACAAGCTTTCTCAAATGTTTAGCATATGTTACCAAAAATGATATGGTTCTAGGAAATTTTTTATTAACAGATGCCAAATAGCCATATTATGTCTTCTGTATTTAAAACAAGCAATGTCACAATTTCAAATGCAAATAAGAGTGGTTAAATTTTTAAAAAATTGTATAACGCATTACAGAAAAAGAGTTGTGAACTAGAGGTATATCAATAGTAAACAGGCATAAGCCTTGAATTCTAGTTCTAGCATTACTAACAACTAAATATGAGATTTAACCCTAATTATCTCATTTAATATATGAATACACCAGACCAGATCAGGGGTTTTAATTTTCTTTTGATGAGTGTTCAAATGGAATTTTTCAGTGGGTCAGGTAAGGAGTTTGAGTTTTACTTTAAATATGTGAAATAAGATCCTCATATTTAAGAAATCTAGTGAGGGCTAGAAGAGCCAACCACTTTCCACAGCTGAGAATCACTCAAATAATATCTGAAGTTTCTTCCAGCTCTAAAAGTTTTAGCAATTAATTCAATTCATTGATACACACTACTATATAGAAAATAAACAAGGACCTACTGTATAGCACAGGGAACTATATCCAGTATCTTGTAATAACCTATAATGGAAAAGAATCTGAAAAAGAATATATATATATGACTCAATCACTTTGCTGTACACCTGAAACACTGTAAATCAACTATATTTCAATTTAAAAAAAATTCATTGAATGAATGAATTTTGAAGCTTCTGCTATGTGCCAGGCACTGTTCTTCTCCTCTTACTCAATGAACTTACCCACTGAGAACAAGGGACCACATTGGCCAGAGCCATTGCTATTGGGAGCTCTCCTTGATCACCCATCATTGTGACCAACTCTACCAGTCTCTCAAAACGATCTGCCAACACCGTTTCTGCAAGTGTGTCAAATTCTGTGCCTTGTTGAAGGATTTTTGTCAGAACTTCCATAAATGTAGCTCTTGTCTGAAGATCTTTGTGATAACCTAAGCCTGATATAGACAGACAGATGCAAATTTACTAACATGGTCTTTCTGAAGTAATTCCACTTGTCTTACATGCCAGTTCTCTAGGTTTTAAATTTCTAAATGAAGCTTTCATTTTATCTCACCTATGGAGTGCATGAGGCCACTGTCCACGTTAGCATTGAGTAAGTTTGACATTGCCAGGACTGTACAGTGCCTCAGTGATGCCAGCCTCCGAGACATGCCACGTTTCCTGCCACCTGTTTGTGCATTTTCATCTTCAACTTCACTACAGTCGTTCAAAAGGTTCATAAACAATGTGAAATACCTGTGAAATAAAAAGACTGACCCTTACCCAGTGAAGGCCACATCAACCAGACAGCGAATCAGACATTCTGAAACCATCACATGTGCATCACATGAGTGGCTCTGGGTATCTGCTTCTCTCCAGTCTTGGGGAAATCAGCCAGCATGGCTCATTATGAAGTGTTTTGTGTTGAATATGATTTTATCCTGACAAAGCTCAGTACATACTTCATAATATAAACACCAAATACATGCAGTGTTTCCTGGCTAATGCATCACTTTTAATGTTTAGAATATAAAAATTAGTGGTCCAAACAGTTTAGACAATGACATTTTAAATGACTTAAGGAGGTGATCTGGGTTTTACTACCAATAAAATTTCACCAATCGGACTTCCCTGGTGACTCAGTGGTTAAGAATCCGCCTGCCAATGCAGGGGACACAGGTTCGAGCCCTGGTCCGGGAAGATCCCACATACCGCAGAGCAACTAAGCCTGTGCGCCACAACTACTGAGCCTGCACTCTAGAGCCTGCGAGCCACAACTACTGAGCCCGCGTGCCACAACTACTGAAGCCCGCACTCCCAGAGCCCGTGCTCCGCAACAAGAGAAGCCCCCGCTCGCCGCAACGAGAAAAAGCCCACGCCTAGCAACGAAGACCCAATGCAGCCAAAAATAAATAAATAAATAAAATTTTTAAAATTCACCAATCAAATTGTTTTCTTTAAAAACCACGAAACACTGGATTACTGGACTGAATGTCAATATTATGACATAGTATGAGTGTGTTTCATGTTTGGTCATTGCAATCACTGTTGCTTTTGTTGTGGTCATCCATTTACAATGCTTGGTGTCAGTTTATTTATCTCTTGTAAAAATAAAATACAGTGTGTGTGTGTGTGTGTGTGTGTGTGTGTGAAAAAAAAATACAGAGTGTTCAGTAGAAAGTAAAAAAAAAATAAACCACAAAACACATGTGCATCACATGGGTGGCTCTGGTATAGGGCTTCCTATACAAGCCCTATCATGGATAATATTGCTTCGAGCACATGTTATATTTTGTGAGACAGCGGCTGATGGCCATAATAACAAAGCAACTGAGTTCCATTTCCTAAATATAATCATTTGCTACTTCGGTTATGCTTTGTTTTGTTGTGTGTGGGGCTTTGTTTTTTGCTTTGTATTTTTGGTGACTGAAATTTACTTAAGAAATAACTGTGATTTGGCTTCCATCAATTCCACACCATCTCCTTCCTCAGGCTGCAGCGGAAGACCAGCCAGGAGTGAAACTACTGCTTCCATGCTTGCCTGGTCCAAATCTCTGAAGAAAAAAAAAGTTTAAAGGCCACAAATCTTTCAGGTTCTTCCACTCCACCTTCCCCTCAAATAAACTTCTTCCTAACAGATACAAACTTTAATAACTACCTATTTCATTAAACAAATTACTATGAAAACCTAAATAATCTGAGTTAATATGCAGAGCCCAGAATGCCAAGACATTTCAAGTTGGGGAGAGGGTGATAATAACTTTCTACAAAGTAATCTTGGCAAAATGACTACCTTAAATGAAAAGCACAAACTATGGAACCAAGGCTGGCCAAAGAAATATATGTGAATGGTTTTTGTGTAATACATAATGTTTAAATATTTCTGATACATTGCAGTAAGTGTTTATCTTTAGAGCAAACTTAAGCAATTACATTTTAGAAAGACTCAAAAGGACTAAGTTCCTCAAATAATATCTTTATCCAATCAAAAATTAAAAACAATCTAAGGCTTTATATACCTTATTTTCCAACTGTAGACTATCCTCCCTAAACAGACAACCCAAGCTTTCCAAACGTAACACTCTCTCACATTTGTTTTTACTGAAAGTCTTTTAGTTAAAAAGAAAAAGAAATAATAAAGATTAGTATCTTTATATAATTCAAATGCAAAAGCTTGAAATCCCAAAAAACAATTTCAATACACATAAAATGTATGTACACAAACTATAATGAAGTAGTAGTAGCACCTAGAGTTAACCTGCTGATACTTGGTTAAGGTCTTTTTTTTTACCTTGTAAGACATTTTACATCCTCATCTGCTGCTTGGTTTGATGTGCCCATAACCCAGTCTGTCAGGTACTCCACCATCTTATTCCTACAGAATGGCAGAGAAAAAGACAAGACGACACAGCTTTTTTAAAGCCACACATACACTTTTAGTCATATGAGAATTTTTAATAGTTCAAGTAATTTTCCAAATCACCCAAGCAACGTGACAATTTCATAAAAGAGATACTGCTATTACAAATCTAACAGTGAGAAGGGCGCAAACATGAGCAACCTGGGTACCGATCCACCACATCAGCCCTTAGCTATGGTATCCATTTGGATACAGAATCAAATTCTTGGCCTCAAGTGTAGTGTAATTTTAGAAAAAGGGAGCACTGTCATGGGCACAAAGGTTTGGGAAATTTGAAAAGATACGAAGAGAAAAAAAACCACACACACATAAAATGCTCCTTTTTCACCTTCCCCACTTCCCATGATAACCAGGTGCACACTATTTTTCTGTACTTCACTTAACATAATAAGATTTACAAGACTTAACTTTGCTCTTTTGAGAACTCACCTAAATTTCATCTCTTGACAAAATGAGAGGTCGTCTCTCCTTGCCATCATTACCTCCACTAACTGACACAGTTTCGTTTTTATTTGAATTGCATGGACCATATTCCCAAGCACACGAACATATCTAGACACAGAAGCATTAAAAAAAAAAAGATCCGATATAAACAAAAGAGAAGATTTTCTAAATGCTTTCATCTCTAAGTAAAATGATTAAATGTAACCATAAGAACTATAAGATTTTCATTTTGTTTATATGAGAACATATATAACTTCTAATTACCTTATTATTACACCCTAATTTGGGTGCAACAGAGAAAAGGATAGCAAATTATTTCACTACTAACTACCGATACCAATGCGTCTGCTACACTTCAGTAGAATGCTTACCTGACCAGGTTTAACATCATTGTTTCAATGCTAGCTTGCCCCAGATGTTCAGAGCTGCCTTCAGTATGATTATCTAGTAAGTTCTTCATTATAGCTATGGTTTGCTCCACGAACTGAGTATTGGTGTCAGTCAATAAAACCTACACGAAGAACAAAACATTGGGAATTGATTTGGGAATCAATGCACAGCAGACAGACCACAGAGAGATGAAGCTGCCTGATCTAACTGTCATACACATGCAGAAATTCAACCATGGGCACATATCCAAATGTGCACACAGATACACACAGACACTCATATCCATACCCAAGACATTGTTAACCCCAGGCACGCCCATGCACTAGAGTCCCTAAAAAGCAAATTGACTCCTACATTAGACGATTCTTCTTTTTGCAATGTTTTCACCTATTTTTTTAAAATTATAAGTGAAAGTTCATGCCAGTATCGGAATTAAATAATCTAAAAGGAAAAGGCTTCATTATTTCAAATGAGTCACTCTATTCACAGGGAAGGGTGAAAAATAAAACAGAGAACACTTTACCTGCCCTTGGGAGTCAAAAAACTTGCTGATGGTATTCTTCAGTTTGTTAAAGAGCATTGGATAAAGAGCAGGACTCAATTCTAGACCCACCAGATCCTTAACATTGGTCCGTATCTGAAGTCCCACTTTCTCATGGTTACAGACCATTAAGGATAGCAATCGATCCATAAATTTGCTGACAGGTGTATCTGCGTTTCCCTCTGAGGACATCACTGAAATCATGGAACCCTTGCGTTCACTGACTGGGCCCATGGGTGGGCTATAGGTTGCCAGGCCAGAATTGCTTCTCTGCTGCAGGCACACTCCCCCAAGGGCGCAAAGGAAGCCAGTCATGTTGATCCATTCTTGTAGGGAGTCTGTGTCAGACAAATCTATGGATCCTCCTCCACTCACATGAGACATTCGCCTCTTAACGATGGTCTTGTGAAGGCTTTCAGCAGCCTAAACACAAAATTTTTATGGAAAGCATGAATTCAACCTCAATTGGTTGAGAGATTTGACAAATTACTTTTTGTCCAACATTTCTTCCATGACAAAAGAACATTTTTTACATTTAAAAAATCCAAGTCTTCACTCTGTAATTTCTAGTCACATCAAGGTACCTTACTGCTTGAGGATGGATGAGTCTTAAGTTACAGAATTGAAGGTAGTGATACACGTATATCCAGTATCAGATACAGAAGGTGGTGATGGACTGCAGTTCAGGAAGGAACATACTTTCAAAACATTTGCTTATATCAATTCCTGGACACAGAGGCCATATCTGTGCTGCTTCAAGGAATATAAGCATTTGGAGATTTTTAACCAAGTACTGTGTGCACTTAATAACTTAGTGATTGCTGAAGTTCAAGTGCTCTGGGATCAGCTTTGTAAACATTGTACTACTATTAACATATTGGGTTAGCCAAAAAGTTCATTCGGATTTTTCCATAAGCTCTTGCAGAAGATCTTATAGATTCCCACATGGCAAGATGAGAGTAACCAAGTGGGAGAACCACTGAACATAGAAAAGAGTGTAATGAAGGAGTACATAAAAATTTAAAAATCAATAGAAAAAAATAATACTCTACAAGAATTTGTAACGTGACAGAGGAGGAATCTTCCAGGAGTTCTGGTCCTTTTAATTTATGGAATAGAGATGAGAAAGAAAAACTTACTATGTGTAGCAAAAAATTTTCAGATTCAATTTCCCAACTGCTTGCAAGCATAATACTCACCTTACTATAGAGGATATATCAACCTAAGAAAGCAACATGTTAGGGACAATCTGTGACATGGATGATGTAGAAGTGCCACTGCATTTGTTTCATTAGGTATGTCTGTTTTATGAGGAAAATGGCCTCTCATGAATGACTGCTTTGAATATGGGACTCTTAAAACTTTGCCATTTCTTACAGCACATGGATTTACTACAGTTGTATCTAGTATTAGAATATGGCTACATATCTCTGCTGTCATGTAGCACATTATCTCTTTTAGGACCTACATTATCAGGTATTTATGCAAGTTCCCTGATCAGGAGTTAAGACCGAGCGGGGCTCACAATATGGATGACTTAATGTGTAGCACAGTGAAAGAACCATTGAATACAACGCTATGCTTTGTTTTTTTTGCGGTACGCGGGCCTCTCACTGTTGTGGCCTCTCCCGTTGCGGAGCACAGGCTCTGGACGCGCAGGCTCAGCGGCCATGGCTCACGGGCCCAGCCGCTCCGCGGCATGTGGGATCTTCCCGGACCGGGGCACGAACCCGTGTCCCCTGCATCGGCAGGCGGACTCTCAACCACTGCGCCACCAGGGAAGCCCTTTACGTGATCTATTTTGACTAAGAGGTTGACTGGGCTCAGTCAAATAATGAATCAACCTCACACCTTCAACGATATATGCAATAATGAGTCACTAGCATCAGACATAGAAAGTCCATCGCAAAAGAACTTGCAGACTGGCTTATAAGCAACAATGTGGTAGAGCAAATATATGGACTGAATTTCATACTGAGATTATCAAACACTGTCAAGTGACTGAATTTTTTTTAGCAGCAGCAGGATGACTGAGTACTTAGCATATTGACTACATTTGGGCTGCAGCACAGCTGAAAACACTGTAGTTGGTATATGCATGATTTATTTCCTTTATTCATCAAGAATTTGGATCCAGTACCACTTAGACATCTTCTTAATCTGGTTTCAGCTCTTCAGCCAAGTGTTCGTGCTGAACAGACATTATACTTGGCATTGATGTTAATTAACGCATTATGGAATAATGTATTAGCAGCTAAGGCTCAGCTACCTAAACAGTTATTTGGCATCTTTATTAATCTTCCCATTGAAAATAAGAAAGAGGAAGAAGAGCTCAGAAGACCAGCTCCATCACCTTCGTCACCTGCAGTTAGTCCTCAAAGCAGCAGTAACAGTGAAACTCATCAGAATGGAGGCAGTGATATTGAAATGGATGAGCAACTTACACATAGAACGAAACAGATGCAATAGCAACTTTCAGACACAAAGAAATCCAAGCAATGAAGTTCTGACAAAACTGCCAACAGTGGTGAAGATGGAAGCAGTGGTCCTGGAAGCAACAGTAATGGATCTAGCAATGAGGTGAATTCTACTAATGCAAGCCAGTCAGCTGAGTGCTCTGGTAACGAGGGACAGTCAGAAGACACTGCAGATTTGAAGCCCTTCAAGAAGATGCAGATCATGGTCATAATCCTCGTAAAAGTAGTTGTGGTACGGATCTTTGGAACAGAAAGTTAGAAAGTCAAGCAGGCATTTGCTTAGAGGATTCCCAAGGCCCATCAGCAAGCAATGGAACAGGAAAGGACCTGTTTTCTAACCCTGAGCCGATGCCATCAGTAGATAATCAAATACAAATGCTGGATGCCTGTTCACACGCTGAAGACCCAGAACATATTTCAGAGGAAATGAATGCTGCTCATATAGCAGAAGCATCTCAGGAATCTTGCAGTATTACACGCACTGGGGACTTCCTTGGGAGACGATTGGAAATGAATTATTTGCTTGTCGGCAATTTAGCATCGCTAAATTCAGCATCACTACCACCACCACCACATCATCATCACTACCATGATGGGCACACGGCTGAGGATAAGCTAAGTACAGATGATGTCCGTTGCCGCAGCTCCCAGGTCAGCGCAAAATCAGAGAAAAACATGGCTGATTTTGATAGTGAAGAATCTGGGTGTGAAGAGGAGCTAGTTCAGATTCATTTCACAGGCAGAGCTACCATCTCATCTCTAACAACATCTTGCCAATGTAGCATCTATTTACCATGAACATCTTAATCAAGAACCTATAATTCATAAACATCAATTCAACAGTAATTCCGTGACAGACATTAATTTGGATATTGTTTGCAAGAAAGGAAACACCTTGTTGTGGGATACAGTCCAAGATGATGATACAGTTAATCTTTCTGAAGGATTAATAAATGAAGCAGAGAAACTTCTCCGTTCCTTAGTATGTTGGTTTACAGATAGATCTGAATGAGATTTATTGAAGGTTGCCTCGAAAATAGGAAACAACAGGTAAATAGGAATTAAAAAATTTTTTATGCAGTAGTCAAAGTTCATTTTGCGTATTCTTATCAACTAGGTGTGGTGAATTCATAGCATTTAACGTACCATTATCAACCTATTTTTTAGTAATTGTGGTTTTCATATTAGGTTTAAAGACTTCCCTTACAGGGTTCATATTGGGGTGGTCAAAAAGTTCGTTCGGTTAATGAATATGTTGTTCAATAAAGTTCTTGGTGAAAATGAAAAATGTCCTTAAAACCCACCGAACTTTTTGGCCAACCCAATATTTTATCGTCTTGCTTTTATCAGTACTTTTCGGCACTTTTCTTGATTAGATCATCTCCAACAGAAACAAAGGAGTAATAGTAATACTTATTCTCTTCTTGACTCTGGGAACATAGTGGTGATTACTCTGGTTTCAAATTACAGTTAAATGTTCTTAAACTGTGTCACAGTAAATATAAAAGAAGCTAAATAAGTGACGTGACGTTAAACTGAAGCTGAAATATAAACATTTTGATTATGACACTGTCCTTTCATCTGGGGAATCTTTTGTGTCTTGACTTTTATAGTGCATAAAGAATTAGATTGGTGTTTCTTGTCTAGTTTGAATTCTGCTATATATTTATATACTTCTTCGGGGCTCAAATGATTACCACAAGTTTCTTGATTTTCAGTTCTGTTCCACTGGTACAATTTCAGGTTTCCCTTGTCTTATACTGTTTTGATAATGTTGTCCCATTCTCTGACATAGAGAATTCAGTTATTAACTGAATATATTATATTACATCATATCATATCATATATTTTCAGAGTAGCTCTGCCCAGGCCTGATATAAATGTCTAATTTTATTGAATATTTAAGTGCTTCAAAATATTTATCTAGTTGAATTAGAAAAAGTATGTACAATATTTTATTTCCTACTTCTGGTCTTTAAAGGGTTATAATTTGAACAATCCCAAAAGAAAAATTGCTTGTTCGTGCAGGTATAAGAAACCACTAATAATAGACCCCTGTTAGTGGATCAATTGTCTCATTTTGTATATACTCTTTAAAAGGAATGCTTTCCATGGCTGGATGATATGTGGTCATTTCCACAGATATTATGCCTGTTCACTTTAAAATGTTAGTTATCTTTTACAAGTTTTTGTGAAACTGTCAAACAGTTTTTCAACGTGATTATATCCATTTATATTCCCCATATGTGCATCTGCATACCCTGTGACCCAGCAATTCCACTGTTAAGTGTGGGCCTTACAGAAATACACCTATAAGGTCAGCAAAAGACACGTTCAAGAATGTTCAGAGCAGCACTATTCAAAGTAACTAGTCGGTGTATAACTATCCAATGCCAAAAAGGAACAGAAAAGAAAAATTGAGGACTGTTAAACAAAATAATATATTGCAATAATAATAAACTACAACTGCACGAAATAGTGTGGCTGAATCTCACAAACATTATGTTAAGTGAAAGAAGCCAGATACTAGGGTATACTTCTATTGCTCTGTTTATATAAGTTTAACAACAAGAAAATGATTGCGTTCAATCAGGACAATGGTTACTCTCGGTCATCAGTGACTGGAAGGGGCACAATGAAAGCTTCTGGGATGCTGGTAATGATTTCTTTCTTGATGTGGGTGCTGGTTGCACAGGTATGTTCACCTCCTAATATTTTGCACTGTCACTTTGATTTACACATATTTTTGAATGTATACTTCAATTTAAAAAAACTATGCAAAGATGCAAAAAGAATTTTTTTAAGTAAAAAAACCCAAACTTAAGATTATCATATACATTTTTAAAGAGCCACTAAAATATTTTTATCATAGACTAATATAATCAACACAGGATATCAAATTTCTTTTAAAAAGCTTTGATTTACATGAATGAACCTTGCAAACATTATGCCAAGTGAAAGAAACCAGTCACTAAAGACCACATGTTGCATGATTCCATTTATATGAAATGTCCAGAATTGGCAAGTCTACTCACACAGAAAGTAGCTTAGTGGTTGCCTAGGGCTGAGGGCTGGCGGCAGAGGTGCGGGGGAACGTTAGGGAATGAAAGCTAATGGGTGTGGGTTTTTATTAAATTGTGGTGGTGACTGCACAACTCTGCATATACTAAAAACCACTGAATCACACATTTTAAACAGGTGAATTTTATGGTATGTGAATTGTATCTCAACAAAACAGCTACCAAAAAAAAAAAAGCTTTCATTTTAAAGCCACGTGTCCCTCTCCCAATAATGATATTAGGTACAGATTTTTGCTTCACAAAAACATAACTTTTTTTCTTGTTCTAAAAAGCATGACAAGAAAAAAACAATGGGAGACTAATGAGTTTTTCTAAAACACCTAATAATGAGAACAATATGGCCATTACAAATCAAACATACAGAAATATCAATTGTAAATGTCCAGGGTAACATGGTAACAGTTGATGAATGAAATGCCCACATTTTAAAACTTCATTTAACCTATGGTTCAGTCTTCTGGCCACCAGATCCCTTAATTAGAATACCTAATAAGATAGTAAAATGTATTGTTTCAATTTTAATTTATTTTTCTCTACCTTTGTTGCTCCTTTCCTGAAAATTCTGTGAAATACTCTGACGGAGAAAGAGAAAGAAAAGAGGGGAAAGAAATGGTCCTACCATAAATCATCTCTAGCTCAGAGCTGTCCAATATTTCTGCAATGATGGAGACATTTAATATCTATGCTGTCCAATAGAGTAGTCAACTTCCACATGTGGCTATTGTATGACAGAGAAACTGAATTTTAATTGCTTTTAATTTTAAATCAAACTTTAATTTGACTAGTGGCTACCATATTAGTGCAGGTTTAGATGAACCACAACTAAATATCAGTCTGAAGACATCTACATACTTATTATACTAAGAGGTCACTCACAAAAGACGAAGTAAAGTACGTATGTTTAGGAGATCAATCAATAGACAAAATCAACTTCACAAACTCACCTGGCCATCTTCCATTTTGGCTTTTGGGTAGTTGAGGATTAGTTTTGTAGCTTGTTCCCACTTTGCATGTGTATCTTCCCAAGCCTGAAATGAAGGCAATTACCACTTGAAAGCAACTTTAAACCTAGAGCTAAAAATCAATCAGTAATAGGCAGGTCTCAAACCTGGTGCGTATTATAATATCCTACTTGTAATATGCACATATTTTAGACTTGCTTCAAAAGCTATTCCTGGTCACATATGCATAACACCAGGCTTCTAAAATTGAGGGTGGGGGCCTGAGAGGGATGTTTCTGTTGCCAAGGGCATACCTCAGTGTTTCCTGCGGTGGGATGCTCAATTCGCCGTAGTAATGCCATCACTCTTTTCTGAAGTGCTGCTCTTCCTAAGCAAAGACAACAACAAATCAACCTACTGCACTTAGAGCCCTGCTTGCCAACGGAGAACCTGGCAAGTCCAATCCAAAAGGCAGAATAGGAGGAGTGGAAGGAATACTTCAAATGATAAAGCTGAACACTTCCTTTTACCAGCCTCACAGGAAAGGGGCACTTAACTGGGACTCCACAATGTCCACAGCCTAAAATAGCTACTCCCACCTAAACTTACTCATAACATGTGCCAATGTTTATAAAACTTCACTACATACAGTTCAGGCAGAGTAAATTATATAATCTATAACTGAAAGCAATTTATACTGCCAGTTTTTAAACAAATGTATATGGCATATTAAAAACTCAGTGAGAAATTAACAGCTTATTTCAAATACTATTTACTTTCACCTTACCTTGTGCAGAAAAGGATTTCAGGTAAGCTATCTGAATTAGCCCTGTAAACTTACAAAGTAGTAATCTTAGATACATCCTTATGTTCCTAGAGCAATCAGACGTCACGTGATTCAAGGCAGACTGAGTGAAAAAAACATTACCCATGATTTACCTGTTGACATCATATTGCTGACAGAGGCAAACTCCATGAATGTGTTATAGTTGGGCAAGAAGTTGTGCACTGACACTTCATCCACCCCACACCGGATATCCGCTTCCTCACAGAGGTGACGAAAACAGGACATGGCAACCAGAACAGCTTCAGTGTCAGGGCTCCACAGAAACATGTACAGGGCCACTTCTAGTTTGGTCTGGGCTTGTCGGCATATTGGCGGCGTTCCGCTGTACCCTGCTGCACTATCCTGGGGGTCAGGAGTGGGAGGCAAGTATTTGCAACTTATGTAATTTTACTTACAAAACCCAATAATACAACAAGCTGTGTATCAGATATGTCTGCATACACTAACCCACAAGAGCTTTTCCCCTTTAACCATGATAGGATTTTCAAACCTCAAAATATCTCACCCGAATGAGAACTCAGATTATTTGTACCAACATAATACTACTATCTGTTCAATTTCAACTAGAATAGGTATCCTTTCCAGATCCCAGAAATGTAGATTAAGTCTAATATGAACACAAATAAAACATGCACAACACAAATCTACTCAATGAAAAATATAATACACTTCTCAGTCAATCATAAACGACAAAGGAAGAGGAAGTAACGTGAAATTCTATCCACCCTGAGGGAAGAAATAAAATAATCATGCTGCAAAACTGACTTAACTAAGGACATGAATAAAAACTAAACATTACTGTAGAAGATACATTGGGCTCTGGATAACATATTCCCAAAACACGAAATACAGAAATCCTCATTTACAAAATGAATGCAAATTCTGCAGGTAAGACAAGAGTAAATACCACACTGCTTAGTAGTTGGTTTTTTTTCCTTCAACTGAAGATTATATTGTAAATTATGGATTAAAAAAAAGCTTTGGTCTGAAAAAGAAACTCTAATAATTTGATATTTTCACTGGTATTATGATTTATTTTTAAAGGGAATTATGGACACAGAAGTCATGAGAACACTTACGCATAACATCAAGCAACATGCTTTTGTTCCCAGTAAATCTGTGCTCTTCTTAGTTGACAGAACTTTTAAACTTCTGGGGTATGAATGGTCTTTCTTATGGGATAGAGAGTTATAATAATTATAGTTATCAGTTAAAGCTTATAAGTGTCACTTGAGGATATGGGGAGGGGGAAGGGTGAGCTTTGACAGGGCGAGAGAGAGTCATGGACATATACACACTAACAAACGTAGTAAGGTAGATAGCTAGGGGGAAGCAGCCGCAAGGCACAGGGATATTAGCTCGGTGCTTTGTGACAGCCTGGAGGGGTGGGATAGGGAGAGTGGGAGGGAGGGAGACGCAAGAGGGAAGACATGGGAACATATGTATATGTATAGCTGATTCACTTTGTTATAAAGCAGAAACTAACACACCATTGTAAAGCAATTATACCCCAATAAAGATGTTTAAAAAAAAAAAAAGCTTATAAGTGTCAAAAAATCAAGTGCTGTTTACACATAATCTCATTTAATCCTCACAACAATTCTGGGGCAGAAATTATTATTATCCCCATTTTAAAGTCAAGGAACTGAATCACAGAGATGTTAGGAATTTGCCTGAGGGTCCACAAAGAGCAGTAACAGAACTACAAGCTAAGCAGTTCTTCACTATGCTGTATTACCTAGCTGAAATTTACCCAAGTTCATTCAGAAAAAAATACAGAGCACAGATGATGATACAAGAAAACTACAAAAGAAACTCCTTACCATGGATGAATTTCCTTTTCCCTTTCGGAGAGAGGTTCCAGGAGTACAAGTACGTAGTAATTCTTCATGATCTATGGACACCTGACTGGTATTTCCACTTGAAGGAACATCACATCCTACTCCATAAAGGAAGAGAAAGTGACAGGAACTTCTATCTGCCTGCTAGAAAGAAAAAATAAGCCTTTTCAAAGTACTGATAACCAAGAGAAATAAATATTTAATATAAGTTGTCTTTCTGTTTGAGACTATCCTGGAAAACCTCTCCTTCCATCTCCTGTTCCCCTCACATTGAAAAACATTCACTAGAAACCCAATAGTACAAATAATGTTTCCTCAATATCTCTGAAACTCCTCTCAGTTTTCCACTCTTCAAATCATGAGAATCAACAGATTCTAGAAATGTAAATTAACGTTTCTAGGTTTAACAGAGACACAAGTAAAACATCAACAACATAAAGCTACCACATGAAAGACATAATGTACTTCTCGGTCAATTAAAAACGACTAAGATTGCCTCCCAAAAGACTTATATCCTGTGCCATGGTCAGGATAACTGGAAGTTGACTCTTTTGAGATTAAGTTCCTCTGGACCAGAATTAACACTGGTATATAAGCCACAGATAAGAGTGACTTCACTGACCAGAAGACTACAGATTCATTACTGGATTACTAATGCTTGTACTCTGGAGAATTATACCATAGGCAAGGGCATGAAACATGCAACATCTTTTTCCTTATCTTTGGAATAATGCCAAATTCCACTCTATTAACACACTAAGATAAGCCAGATATAAATAGATCCAACTTACCATTAGCCCATTTCTAAACAAAGAAAATTTAACAAGCTGCATGGTACACTGAAAAGCATACGCGTTTGATACATTTAAGATTTCTCGGGCTTCCCTGGTGGCGCAGTGGTTGAGAGTCCGCCTGCCGATGCAGGGGACACGGGTTCGCGCCCCGGTCTGGGATGATCCCACATGCCGCGGAGCAGCTGGGCCCGTGAGCCATGGCCGCTGAGCCTGCGCTCCGCAACGGGAGAGGCCACAACAGTGAGAGGCCCGCGTACCGCAAAAAAAAAAAAAAAAAAAAAAAAAAGATTTCTCATAGATTTTATCCATTCTAGAAATGGATAAAAATTCACTGAATCAAGTACTCCTAAAACTATGCTGTAACAGAAGAACTTTTTAATTGACTAATTATAGAAACTTTATGTTAAAAAAAAATAAAGGCTCTTCTCTAGCCCCCAAAACCTTCTCACCATACTCCAATAGTTCAGGATCAAAACTTTTCACTCAACCCCAAGGAAGAAGACTCCTGATATTTTCAAGAGGTAAAAGCTTTCTCGCAGAAATATAAATAAACCTAGATTGAGGGCCCTCAATCTCTTCCCTTCAGCTTCTTTACGTATACAGATAGATAACATTCTCTGGGCTAGCCTAGCCATAGGATTCAAGTCTTATGTATGAACTTGAGAGGACAGATAGACTATGTTGTTACTCAATCTTCTTTGGTTATAGCAGCCCCCACTCCTCCTAGGACTGCCCCACAGAGTCCTGATTAACTCAGCTAGACTTTATCAGGATTGTGGCTTTAAGGCTAAAGGCTCAGAATAATTTTTAAAGAGTTGATTTGTCAGCCATTGTCTTCTGCACAAAATTTCCCTTGAAGACTGTAGGAGAGAGGAGCTGAATTAGGACTTAATTTGGCTAATAAACACTTCCTTAATGTCTCCTCATTACCATTCCAAATATTCTTCCATTTTGAAAGATATCACTTTGCTTACCTTATTTTTAAGAAGAAATTTATTCCTGCAGATCAAAATTTCCCGCAACCATTTGAGAATTTCTGTGCTACTAAGCATTTGATGGCTAGTTAATTTCTTGCAGATGTAAAAAAGCATTTGTGAGCTGCAGAAACAAAGTTCACGGTTACCAGCATTGTCAACAAACAACATAATGCAGATAAAATCAGTCCATAAGAATGGCATTCTCTAATAATGGACAAAGTCTAGAGAAGCTTATTTTCCTTTCCAGGATTTGTTTTAGAGAAATGATTATCAAAATGTTAACAGCATGATCATCAAATGATGTAAGTATACGGATTACGTTAAAAAAAAAAAAAAAAAAAGCAAGTACTTCTAAGCCCCCTACTCTCCCAACTTCCAGGTGTTTTATCCATGCATCTCATCCTTGCAGAGGACTCAAGAAAAAATTATAGACCAGGTGCACAGCACAGACTGTATGTGAACCTAACGCTCTAGAGCAGGGGTCTGCAAACGACTGCCTGCAGGCCAAATCCAGTCCATCATTTGCCTTCGTAAATAAAGTTTTAGTGGAACACGGTCACACCCCACTCATTCATTTACATATTGTCTATGGCTGCTTTCAGGTCCCAACAGCCGAACTGAATAGTTATAAAAGACACTACCTGGCCCACAAAGCCTAAAATATCGACTACCTGGCCCTTTAGAGAAAAAGCTTCCTTATTCCTACTCTAGAGCTGCACTGTCCAACACAAGAGCCACTAGCCAGCCACATGTGGCTGCTGAGCACTTGAAATATGGCTCGTCTAAATTAAGATGTCCTGTAAATATGAAACATAACAAATTCTGAAGACTTTATTAAAAAAAGAATGTAAAATATCTTATTAATAACTTTTGTATTAATTACATGTTGAAAAATATTGTATATATACTGGGTTAAAAAATATACTATTAAAATTAATTTTACCTGTTTCTTTTTACTTCTGAACGTGGCAACTAGAAAATTTTAAATTACATATGTGGTTCACATTACATTACTATCAAAAAGCATTGCTTCAGAGTCTAGGATTTAACTCAGCTGCCAAGTGACTTGGTGTACCCACTTCTATAAGAAAATGACAAAACCTGAGGCTTACACACTTACATTTTCCTCAATGTGTTACCTCTGTGCTCACTGAAAGGTAATAATTTATATAACCAAGGAAATAAATTATAAAATATATATATATATTTTGCCTTCTAAGCAGATATTCTGTATTAATTCATCCACCAAAAACACTGGTATTATCGAAAATGTATGAAAGATCATAGTTTAGAAAACTGAAATAAACTATTAACATTACAAAATTTTAATACTCTAAGCTTATAACTGTAAAAATCAATTTAAAACACAGTTGTAACCACATAAAAATCCAAAATAGAAGAGAACATACCAAATAACAGTACTTATGTTTGGATAATGAAATTTAGCACAATTTTTAAAAATTTATTTTCTAAACTGCTGTGACAATGTTCTTACAGTTAAAACAAGAAATAATCTAATAATTTCAAGTCAAATAAAATACAAACTCATAAAACCTCTGGAGGTATAAATGAATAAAGTTTTATAATAAACTAAGTACTACAGAGTTAATATTCAAAGACAAAAAATACAAAATAAAATTTTAAATTGAAAAATAACAGTGCATATACCTGATTTCCCAAAATGTTTCTACAGGAGCATCAGGATTCCACAAATCAATGCTATCTAACTGATGAAGAACCAACAGAGCCTGAATTTTTAAAAAAGAGAAAGAGAAGACTTATTCAAAAGAGTTTTGGTAAACATAACACTGGAGTATTTATTTTACAAATGCTAACTAATTGAGCTACTTAATTGTAGCCTCAACACACAGTATAGGGCACAACAGAAAAACTCTGAAGAACCAAAATCTCTAGGGGATTATATGTATTATATATATATAATAATATATATATAAAAAATGAAGTCACTTTATTCCTATCAGTCTTACTTTAAATGGCATATACACATAAGTCATATACTGATGAATTCAGAATAGCAATATACATGTGTAAAAAGTGCTTTAAGACACAAACAAAATAATTTCAATAAGTATCAAAGAACTCTATAGAAAATAAAAATAATCCCCAAGTAAGGAGATCTCTCCAAAACTAATACACACAAAAATATTTTACCTCAAGACAATATGGTACTGGCACAAAAACAGAAATATAGATCAATGGGACAGGATAGAAAGCCCAGAGATAAACCCACACACCTATGGTCAACTAATCTATGACAAAGGAGGCGAGGATATACAATGGAGAAAAGACAGTCTCTTCAATAAGTGGTGCTGGGAAAACTGGACAGCTACATGTAAAAGAATGAAATTAGAACACTCCCCAACACCATACACAAAACTAAACTCAAAATGGATTAGAGACCTAAATGTAAGACCGGACATTATAAAACTCTTAGAAGAAAACATAGGAAGAACACTCTTTGACATAAATCACAGCAAGATCTTTTTTGATCCACCTCCTAGAGTAATGGACATAAGAACAAAAATAAACAAATGGGACCTAACGAAACTTAAAAGCTTTTCCAAAGCAAAGGAAACCACAAACCAGACAAAAAGACAACCCTCAGACTGGGAGAAAATATTTGCAAACAAATCAATGGACAAAGGATTAATCTCCAAAATATATAAACAGCTCATGCAGCTCAATATTAAAAAAAACAACCAACCCAATCCAAAAATGGGCAGAAGACCTAAATAGACATTTCTCCAAAGAAGACATACAGATGGCCAAGAGGCACATGAAAAGCTGCTCAACATCACTAATTATTAGAGAAATGCAAATCAAAACTACAATGAAGCACCACCTCACATCAGTTAGAATGGGCATCATCAGAAAACCTACAAACAAATGCTGGAGAGGGTGTGGAGAAAAGGAAACCCTCTTGCACTGCTGGTGGGAATGTAAATTGATACAGCCACTATGGAGAACAGTATGGAGGTTCCTTAAAAAACTAAAAATAGAATTACCATATGACCCAGCAATCCCACTACTGGGCATATACCCAGAGAAAAGCACAATTCAAAAAGACACATGCTCCCCAGTGTTCATTGCAGCATTATTTACAATAGCCAGGTCATGGAAGCAACCTAAATGCCCATCGACAGACGAATGGATAAAGAAGCTGTGGTACATATATACAATGGAATATTACTCAGCCAGAAAAAGGAAACTGGGTCATTTGTAGAGACATGGATGGATCTAGAGACTGTCATACAGAGTGAAGTCAGAAAGAGAAAAACAAATATCGCATATTAACGCATGTACGTGGAACCTAGAAAAATGGTACAGATGAACCGGTTTGCAGAGCAGAAATTGAGACACGGAAGTAGAGAACAAACGTATGGACACCAAGTGGGGAAAGCGGAGTGGGGTGCAGGTTGTGGTGTGATGAACTGGCAGACTGGGATTGACATGTATACACTGATGTGTGTAAAATGGTTGACTAATAAGAAAAAAAAATAATTAAAAAAATAAAAATAAAGTCAGTCCATAAAGTCTGAAAAAAAAAATTTTACTTCTAGGCCATAAGATAAAGTAGGAGTTATCTTATTTGCCACAAATTCTTTTGGAACAGACAGGACAAATTATTTTTCAAAAAGGAGAGAGGGGGAGGAAAATAGATTTTGTATTTCATAGCAGATTATTCATCGTAAAATACCTCAATTGACCACAGAATTGAAATTGGATTTGGCTCACAGAACATTAACAGGAATACGCAACTAATATAAAAAAACACTATTAAATAAATTAATGCCATCAAGGGTATAAAGAGTAAAACTAGACTCTTCCTTCAAACCAGCCCTATCCTAACTCCAGCTCCACAACGTTTCCCCTGGACGCACACTGTTGAGCTCTGCACATTCTTCTCAGTCTTGGGTCAGCACATTTGGACATTCTTTACTCCTCTTTAAAGCCTTTTATTAAAATTCCAATGAAACACTGTTTGGAACACATAATGAGATCTGATTTCTTCTCTTAAAACCAAATTAAATGCATAAACTGCAAATACAGCTGCAATGATAACCTGCCTCACATTAGGAAAAATAAGTAAATTTCTAACCTTGTTCAACTTTGTAACTCCAAAAGTTATAAATTATATAAACATCAGACCTATATTTTCTATTTCAAATACTTTCACTGTAATTATTTTGAGATGTTTAGTGAAAACTGCAATTTGTTGTGAGAATCTTCAAAAATTATATAGGTTATACCTCTCATATCAAGGAAAAACAGCCCAAATTAACATTCAATTTTGTTACTATTGTGCAAAAATTTAGTTACTGACACTTTAAAGTGGCAAATTCTGTAACGTTTTTGTTTGACAAAACATTTTTTTGAAATATTCAAAGAAAATGTGTTAGCCTTTTCTCTGCCTTAATATGAATGTTTTCCTTTCCATGTTCCTTTCCATTTTTAAGTTTTCCACATATATTTTAACAAAACTGTAAACACAGTATACTCCTTTGACATTTCATAAATATTTTTCCATATTGCTTTGTGATCTGCATGGTTTAATGGATTTTTTTTTGAATTTTATTTTTTTTCTATACAGCAGGTTCTTATTAGTTATCCATTTTATACATACTAGTGTATATATGTCAATCAGTTCACCAAATTGAAATATCATTCTCTTGTTATTGAATATTAACACATTCTCTTACTAGTGAATATTTAAAATTCTCCTAATGTTCTATTACAAATAAGAGCAGTAAGCATATATGTGTGTAGCTTTTTCCTTTTAACTTATATTCACAGGATTAAAAAATTACAGGAATGTAATTATTTGGACAGAAAAATGGACATCTGTATAGCTCCTGCTAAATACTGTCAAATAGCCTTCCAAAAAGAATGCAAAGTATATACTGTTTTATAGAACCAACAGCAATGTACACAAATACAGGCAATGAGTGTAACAATGAGTGCTGAAACACTTTTGGTAAAATAAAGCATGATAAATAATGAAGTAGCAAATCTTAAATATATAGTTCAATGAATTTTCACAAATGAATATACCTCATATAACCATTCCCCAGATCAACATTATTAACACCCAGAAGCCTTTTTCACATTCCCTTCCGGTCATCAGCTCTTGACAAAGGTAGCCACTGTTCCGACTTCTATCACCATAGGTATTTTTGCCTGTTTCTGAACTTTGTATAAATAAAGGGAATCATACAGCATGTTCTCTTTGTGTTTGGCTGTTTTCACTCAATATTATGTATGTGAGATTCAACCATGCTTTGTACTTAGTGGTAGCTTGTTCTTTCTGCATTGCTTTAATAAGTGGAATGATAATGTTGATATATTTGAGTTGTTTCCAGCGTTTTTGCCTACTACAAATTATGCTGCTATTAATATTTTTGTATGTGTCTTCTGGTAAACATACATATACCTTTCTGTTGGATACATACCTAGGAGGAGAATTGCTAAGTCATATGTTTAGCTTTTATAGATATATTGCAAAACAATTTTTAATGATGGTTGTACTAATTTACTTTCTTACGAGCAGGATATGAGTAAAAACAAAGCACAGTTTGATCCTTGAACAATGAGGTTAGGGGTGCTGACCCCCCATGCAGTAAAAAATGCACATATAATTTTTGACTCTCTAAAAACTTAACTACTAATAGCCTACTGCTGACTGGAAGCCTTACCAATACCATAGTCAATCAACACAAATTTTGGATGTCATATATATTATATACTATATTCTTACAGTAAAGCTAGTAAAAAGAAAATGTTGTTAAAAAATCATAAAGAAAAAAGATCTATAGTACTGTACTGTATTTATCAATACTGTTAAGTTTACATCATGTTTACAAGATGAATCAGCTTTTTCTATAACAATGATGGCATCTTCGATAGTGTAATCCTTCCAGACTTTCGTAATGTTCTCTCTATTTGGGTTCTCGTCCATAGCGTTGACAATCCTTTTCACAGGGTACCGAGTGTAATGAGCCTTAAAGGTCCTTATGAACCCCTGATCTAGAGGCTGAATTAGAGACATGTTTGGGGCAATCAGGCCACTTTGACACCTTCAGTGTTAAACTCATGGAGTTCCGGGTGGCCAGGGGCATAGTCCAGTATCAAAAGAACTTTAAAAGGTAGCCCCTTACTGGCAAGGTACTTTCCTCATTTCAGTGACAAAGCATTGATGCAACTAATCCAGAAAAAGGGTTCTCACTGTGCAGGCTTTCTAGATGTACAACCAAAAGGCTAGCAACTGGTATCTATCTTTTCCTTTCAAGGCTTGGAAGTTAGAAGCTTTATAAATAAGGGCAGTTCTGATCATAAACCTAACTGCATTTGCACAAATCCTGGTGCTTGCTTCTCCTTCTTACTAGTAAATGTCCTTTGTGGCATTTTTTTCTAGAGTAGCACACGTTCATCTGCATTATAAACCTGTTCAGGCTTACATCCCTTCCCCTCAATGATTTTCTTAATGGCGTCTGGGAACTCATCTGCTGCCTCTTGGTCAGCAGAAGCTGCTTCTCCTTTACCTTTTGACATTTTTAAAGCCAAAGCTCTTTCTAAAAGTATCAAATGATCCTTTGCTGGCATTAAATTCTCCAGCTTTTAGATCCTTCACTTTCCTTTTGCTTCAAATTGTCAGATAAAGACTTCACTTTTTCTCGAATCATACTGAAGTCAATAGGTATACCTTTCTTACAGCAATCCTGCACCCACA